TACTGCGTGAATGTCAGTTTGAAAGCATTTCTGAAAGTCATGCAGTCCTTAAGACTCAGATGAGCTATCGGGTTGTATTGATTACCGAAAATTTTGAGAACTCATCGGCTATCATTAAATTAATTAGTTCAAGTTATTATCATCAACGTCTGATGAACAGAGGGGCACGCTACAACCTAGCTAACGGTGGAGGTATCAAAGTTAGATTTCAGAAATTTATGCTTTACATGGACTTTTAAATTTATTCATAGATAAACTAACAAAATTTTCGGTATTGATATATAAATATTTTCGGTATTGAGAAGAAACATTTTGGTAATGCAAATATCGGTTTTCAGTAATGCAAACTTGCGACTTATTGCTATCTCACAGTTTTCTTTCGTCGTTTCGATCTTTAACTTTTAAACGTTTTCAGCATCTTCTCGGGAACAACTAAACCAATTTGAAGCTAATTTTGGTATATGGGTAAAAATTGTGAATTTCATAGTTTCTGCTTCATTGAGACATGAGAGGTAATGCCAAAATCACCAAAAATGAATGCAATTTTCAAATATTTTCTTCTTTTCTCCTGGACATCTAGCATGCAAACTGTGTGTATGCTTATAATACTAGTAAGAATAGGTCCCTTACCAAATTTCTGAAATCCAAGACCCCTAAGGTTGGGGTTCAGACTCAAGGATGGGGCAAACTTGGTCATATATTGAAAAATAATGCATTTTATCCATAAAATATTCTTCTTTACTCATGGACATTTACCATGCAAATTGTGATTTTCAGTTTTCTTATAAAATCTCTTATCAAAATTGTGAAATTCATGGCTCCTGGGTCCAAAGTTCATAATTCAATCCTGAAGGCATGATTGGTCATATGTTGAAAATAAATTGCATCTTTGAAAATGGGCATTTAGCAGCAAACTGTTTCATTTTTTATGACGAACAATTAGCTTTCTACCAAAATTGTGAAACTTTTTGCTCCCTTTATACCCCCGAGTGGGGATATGTTTATCATACATCGAAAATAATTACACATTTGAAAATCTTAAGCTTCATAAGAACTTCTAATAGGCAAACCATTTGCGTGATTATAATACTGTATGCAATTATCTCTATACCACGATAGTAAAATTCAAATTTTTGGATCTAGAGCTCAAGCTTGTAAGCCCCAGGTGGGAGCTAAATTGGTCATTTGTTGAAAATGTGTTGGAAATTCAATTCATCCTTATTTTTTCTTTTGTCATGAACATCTGTCAACTACCAAATATGTGTAATTCGAAAAACCCCAGCCCGGCCAAGGCAACAGGTCGGGCTGATAAAATATACTGAGTTATAAAACAAATGTAAAAATCACTACTAAGCCAGAAATGTACTGATATTCCCATTTTAAAAAAAAAGAAAAAGAAAAAAGAAATCTGATTACGACGAACAAATGAATTTTAACGTCATAACGGTACAGCGGACATATAAAATTCTGTATAGCGCTGAGAACCCTCCAGACCAATGACCTGCTAAATCCAAAACAATGCAAAGGGGAAGCAACAACTTACGTTTTTAACGAAGAGTTAAAGTAAAGAAAGAGTTTGTTTTCAAGAATTTATTAAGTGATATCAGAAAAAGAAGGGTTAAAGTTTCCCGATCCTTTTAGTGTGAGAAAAAAAATCTACGGCTGAAGTCACGTTAAAAAGATCTGCAGATTGCTTCAGGTCAATAGACATATAAAAGTTTATTTTTAAACTATAAATACCACAAATATTGAAATTACTTTACATCATTGAAAATCTTTTTCATTACCAATGGGCATTTAGCAGATAAATTGTTTGCACGATGATAATGAGCTTTAAGCCTGTTACAAAAATTGCAAAACTTTATGTCCTTCTGGGTGCATGGATGAAGCCAAAGGGTGGACCGAAGTAGGTAATGCATTTATTTATCATTCTACAGTGCATCTCATCTTCTTTACTCCGGATCCTCTGGGACACATATTATGTGAATATGATGATGAGTATAAAGTCCTCACCACAACGCTTTAAGTTTCAAATGTCAAAGGTTCTAGGTGAGGCAGAAGTGGACAACAGCTGGAAAACATGACACTCAGGTGACCTTTCAACCCTTGGGCTCTTGTTAAAAAGATAAGAGTTTTGATACAAAATACTCTTTGTTTTTAGATCCATGTGTATCGGAACCGTGTATAAATGGGGGTCGATGTATGGCTGTCGATTGCAATGCCCGATATATCTGCTCTTGTCGTTACCCTTTTACTGGAAGATCATGTGAAAAAAGTAATAAATGCACTTAAAATGTACTCTAGGCAAAATTGAATTCTTTCAAGTTGCAGTAATGTATGCTAGTTTAATAATCGTATATGCATTGATATGTTTTTTTTATTTGTTTTGCCAAGAAATGCACATATGCAACCCAAACCCATGTTCATCTAATGGAACTTGCATTGAGGTTCCTGTTCAACCATATTTCTTCTGCATTTGTCGAAATAGCGAATCAGGAATTGTAGTGTTGGTAAGGTTTTGGGTTTCATAATTGATTTTAATTACGTTTCTTTCTTTCTTTTCTTCAAGAATGAAATTGACAGAGAAATTATAATTATTTCTATTTAAGATAGTGCTCTTTAAAAGGATTTTAGAGTATGAAAGTACAAAGGAACCAGCATGTATGCAGAAAGAAACTAGTAGGTAAAAATATAAACTTGTTGGGTGATTTGATCTTATTAAAATGCAATACTTTCACCTTATCGCCTTGTTGAATTAATCTAATTACTTGGTGATTATGATTTTTGTCTTCCGCTTTCGCAAATGCAAGGGGATATTAACACATTCGTCTGTCAGTCTGTCTGTCACAAAAAAAATAACCTTGGTCATACATTTGAATAAAAAGAGATAGGGCTTTCATATTTTCACAAGTACACTACCTGTGAAAAAAAAAAACTTTCCAGATTTACTTTGATTTTAGTCCCTGTTTCTTGATTTTAAAGTTTGACACAGTTTTGAAAAAATTTAGCAAACTTTAACCTTGATCATAACTTTTGAAAGAAAAAAGATAGGGCTTTTATTTATGTGCATTCTATTTATCTATTTTCTTTAATTTTCAATTTTTATTTGTATTGTATGATTTCTATTTATTTATTTGTTTATTTATTTACTTATTATTTTTTTATTTTTTCCATTTCTATATTTAAATTATTTTACCTTTTCCCTGTAACTGTAAGATTATTGTTGATTAGTTGGTTATCAGGGATGGGGTAATCGTAATCAAGTAATCGTAATCGATTGTAATGATTACTTTTTTTCAAGTAATCGACAGTAATCTGTAATCGAAGAGATTTTCAATTACTTGTAATCGTAATTTAATCGATTACAGCTAAAATATTCAATGTAATTATAATTACTTTTTCGGTTACTTTCGATTATTTTATACATAAATGGATGTTATTTTGGCGAATTATTTCCGTTCAGTCACACATAAATATCAAATATAAACCACCTAGTGTAATGTTTGGATTTCCTAACTTTTATCATAATCATAAGTTTAAAAATGTTCTCAATAAAATTTGCATTATAGACCCATTGGTCTAGTATTAAATAATTCAGAAATGTATTTCAAACATTTATTAATAAAATATACAGATTTTTTGTGTGCATTTTACATTTGACTCACTGTCCTTGTGCTGTATGTCCTTTTCATATTTCAGATGTTGAAAAACTTTGTCTTGTAATAGAAAATTATGAATAGCAAAAACAGATTTAAGTGCTGTATTAAATATAAATAATTTGGTAAATAAAATACATTGTCTCAAAAAAAAAAAAATGGAAAAACTTATTTATATCTGAAAATGTTTAAATAACTTCAAACTTGGGTTTTAGTAACTTTAAAATTTGCAAAATCATTCTCATGTTTTCTTTCAAAATTTTGAGGTTGCTTTCATATCAGTGAGAGGTTATAAGTGTCTGTAAGAGAGGGAGTAAGTGTCACTGTGTTTGCTTATCTTAATTGGCTAATTAATTAACTGAGACATCCCTGATTTGCAGATAATGAAGTGTGAACTGTGAACTATCTAGTGTTTAACTTTCATTCCATTGAAGACAAACAATATTATTAAAACAATTTTAAATAGCTATCAAAACACTTATTTCAATACAGAATGAAATTGTGCTATTAGTTAAATTACTTAAGCCAAAATACTTCTAATGAAGTAACTCACAATAAATATTAAATAGTTTTTGCAACAAGTCAATAAATATGGAGGACTGGTTCAGATCCAAGGTTGAAAGGAATAATCAATTCCTTGGCATATTTTATTGAAGGAATCATGTCTCCACTTCCCATGGTAGAGAGAATCCCTCATTTGGGCATTTAGTGAGAATGTTAGCCAGAATAAAACCATAAAATAATCTGCACTGAAACTGCAGGAACACATTCAAACTTCTGTAGATAAAATCAACATTTACCATTTAAATATTGCTTTGATATTTGAAGGGATAAAAACTTGAAAGTAATCGATTATTAATCGATTACATCTTCCAAAGTAATCGATTACAATCGATTACAGGACAAAAATTAGTGTAATCGATTAATAATCAATTACACAAAATTCCTCTAAGTAATTGATTATTAATCGATTACATTTTTCAGTAATCGTGCCCCATCCCTGTTGGTTATGAAGGGCATGCATTTGAATAAAAAATCCAAAATAAAACAAGATAAATCCTAATGCTAAAATAAAATGTTTTGACTTCTCTTTACTAATTATCTTGACTGGCTGAAATGTTATTTAAGACACACAAAACCCACATACATGTAAATTCATAATAAAAACAGGCATGTTTTGTTGTCATATTTTATTTTAATATTATACATAGAACGTTTTGGTTTTTTATTATATTTTTTTAGGGCGTACCATCATTCTTGCCGACTTCAAGGACCTCCAAGTGTTTCCCCAGCCATACCAACTCAGTTCTTTGGGATCTTTCTTGGAGTCTTTTCGATATACACCGTTCAGATTTGTATTAAAGCAATTAGAAAACCAGCCTGCTGTTATGTAGGTTTGAGCACATGACTTAGAATCAGTGTCATTGTCTCTGTCCTTGGTACTGAACTTCATATTTTTAGTTACACTTAAGCTATCCCCTGAAAGTACATACATGGCTCATTCTTTGATTGATTATTTCCGGTGTGCAGAATTGAAATCTCTCTCTCTCTCTCTCTCTCTCTCTCTCTCTCTCTCTCTCTCATGCCTCCCTTTGCGATCACCCTTTTTTCCATATTAATATTGCATCTACTGCATTATAAAACTATAACTGAAATATGACCAACAAAAACATCTGATAGTATACCATATATAAGTACATGTAAATAATAACTAGTGGGTATTTTTTTTTTTCTTACAAATAATAAACGCATGTCTATCCTTCTTTACCAACATTAACGAGTGCAATAATACGATCAGGGTCAAAAATAATAATGCAGTGCATCTCATCTCATCTCAGATTCCTCGATTTGTGTACAAAATTTCAAGTCTTCATTTCAGAGGGATTTTAAGTTATGGTCTGGTCGTATTTATTTTTAAATTTGACCTTGAATGAAGAAAGCGGTCAAGGTTAAATATTTTGATGCAGTGCATTTGGTCTTAACGTTGTCTTTCCTTGTTCCAAATTTGAAATCCTAATGTCAAAAAGTTCTGAAGTTATGAACTGGACTATATATTTTTCATGTAAAAGATTGATCTTTACTTAATTAATAGATCAAGGTGAAAAAATGTTGGCATTCACCCTTCCTCTATATCACCTATCCATGTTTGAAGTCTTAATGTCAAAGGGTTCTCATGTTATGGTCTAGTCCTGTTTTCTCAATTTGATGAAGAAAGGGATCAAGGTCTAAATTTTGATGCAGTGCATCCTTCCTATGTTCCATGTTTGAAATCCTAATATCAAAAGGTTCTCAGGTTATGGTTTGGACTCTATCGTGATGTAAAAGATTGACCTTGACCTTATAAATTGGATCAAGGTCAAAAATTTGGTTTCATGCATCCCTCCTTCATATTACCTCTGCATGTTCCATGTTTGAAGTGATTATAACAAAAGATTCTTAAGTTATGGTCTAATCAAGTTTTTTTTTTCTCTATTTGACCTTGAAGAAAGAAAGAAGCCAAGGTCAAAATTTTGGTGCAGTGCATCTTGTATCAATGTTTTCTTATGTTACAAGTTTGAAGGGTATTAAAGCTTTGGTCTTGACTCTATTTTGATGTAAACGATTGACCTTGATCTTATAATTATTAGATTGTCAAAGGGTTCTCAAATAATGGTCAAATCGTGTTTTTCTCTATTTGTCCTTAAAGGGTTCAAGGTAAAAATTTTGATGCAGTGCATCTTGTTTCAATATCATCTAACTATGTTACAAGTTTGAAGTCCTAATATCAAAGGGATCTCAAGTTATGGCCTGGACTCTATTTTAATGTAAAGGATTGACCTTGACCTTATTAATAGGCCAATTTCAAAAATTTTGGTGGATTCTTCTCAATGTCATCTATGTAAGTTCCAAGTTTGAAGTCATAATGCCAAAGGGTATTTAAGTTGCGCACGGACAAAATTTGGATGATGAAGAATAAGATAAAATCGAATAAAACAATATGTCCCCCCTGGGAGGGGATACATAATACATACGTCAATCGTTCAGTGAACAACATTTCATCTATCGATGAAAATATATGATGTTAGTTTTCTCACATGTCAATTACTTAAGACAGATATTTCCATTTTGGGAGTTAATTAATGTATGACGTGATACATATTATCCTTGGGATAGTGCTTAAAAATCCCAAGGGTCAAAAGTATAAAGCCATATCCCCTTGAACTTAAAACTGAAATATTTTATTAACAATTTCATTCCAAATAATCATTCAAAGAAACAGAAATTGGCAAAATGCCTAGGATTTAATCATACAGTGAAATGTTTCTTTGCTCTTTGTACGGAGATGAACGAATGCAACATTGCAGAACAAGAGGCCCAAGGGTCTTGAATTGCTCTTCTGATAAACTGTACAACCTATCACTTCTATTTGAAGCTTCTAAGTATCCTGTATATTTAGATAAAGCCTTGAAATTCCAAAGGTAGGTCATCATGACCTACATTTTAGATGAAACACTCTGAGAACCCAAGATGATTCTAAGCCAATTAGTACCTGAGAATAGGTCATGGTGATCTACTTACATGTATCACTTGTTATTCTCTGAGGACCCAAAATGCATCAACTAAGTTTGATGATTCTAAGCCAATTAATACCTGATATATTTAAATAAAGTCATAAAATTTCAAAAATAGGTCACAGTGACATTTTTTTTCAGATGACATACTTTGAGGACCCAAGATGCATCAACTGACAAAGTTTGATGATTCTAAGCCAATTAATACCTGATATATTTAAATAAAGTCATAAAATTTCAAAAATAGATCACAGTGACCTCCTTTTCATTGGACCAAGTCTGCGGACCCCAGATGCATCAACTGACAAAGTTTGGTCATTCTAAGCCAATTAGTACCTAAAAATATTTAAATAAAGCAATAAAATTTCAAAAGTAGGTCACAGTGAACTACATTTCCATCAACTTACTTCGACGACCCAAGATGCGTCAATTGACAAAGTTTGATGATTCTAAGCTAACTAGTACCCGAAATACTTCATTATAGCCATATAAATTGAAAAGTAGGTCACGGTGACCTACTTTTCAGTAGACGTACGCCAAGGACCCAAGATGCATCAGCTGACAAAGTTTGATGATTCTAAGCCAAATAGTACTTGAAATATTTAATTAAAGCCATAAATTTTCAAAAGTATGTCATGGTGACCTAATTTTAAGTTGTCGTACTACAAGGACCCAAGATGCATCAACTGACAAAGTTTGATGATTCTAAGCCAATAAGTACCTGAAATATTTAAATAAAGGCATAAATTTTCAAAAGTAGGTCACGATGACCTACTTTTCAGTCGACTTTCTCCAAAGACCCAAGATGCACCAAATGACAAAATTTGATGATTCTAAGCTAACTAGTACCCGAAATTTTTAGTTATAGTCATATAAATTGAAAAGTAGGTCACACTGACCCACTTTTCAGTCGACCTACTCCGAGGACCCAAGATACATCAACTGACAAATTTTGATGATTCTAAGCCAAATAGTACACTAAATATTTAAATATAGCCATAAAATTTCAAAACTAGGTCAAGGTGACCTACTTTTCAGTTGACGTTTTTTGAAGACCCAAGATACATCAACTTACAAAGTTTTATGATCATAGGCCTTAAAATGTCCAAATTATGCCTCTAAAACGCTTTGAAATTGAATGCCTGCAAAGTTCAAAAAGTAGGTCACTGTGACCTACTTTTTAATAAATATGTTTTGAGGCCCCAAGATGCATCATCTTACAAGATTTAATGATTCTAAACCTCTCAGTATTTAAATTAATGGCCTTCATTGTTTTGAAAAAAAAGATAAGCCATAAAAATTAAGAAGTAGGTCAAGGTGACCTACTTTTTAGTCGATATACTTTGAGGACCCAAGATGCATCAATTGACAAAGATTGATGATCATGGGCCTTAAAATGTTCAAAATATGCCTCTAAATCATTTTGAAAAAGAATGGCCGCAAAATTCAAAAAGTAGGTCACCGTGACCTAATTTTGAGTCAGCAAGATATGAGGTCCTTAGAGGAATTAACTGACAAGATTTGATGATCCTAGTCCTTATAGTAAGCAAAATATCAACATTTTAATAAAATGTAATTTTTGGTCAATTTTGAAGTGACCTTGAGACCACGCCCTTTGCCCCAGGGTGATGCCTTGAACAATTTTTAATCTACAATATATCCTCATCCTTTTGTGTAAGTTTGGTGATAATCTGCCCAGTGGTTCTTGAGAAGAAGATTTTTTAGCAACCAGTACTTTTCTTTCTATTTTCCTAATTATCTCCCCTTGTTTAAGAGTCACAACCCTAGTTTTAGTACAAACGGGAGTCCTTTGGCCAAGGATGCCCTGTGACAAATTTGACAATAATTGGTCAAGGGGTTCTTGAGTTATGTCCCATATTCTAAAAAGTTTATGCTCACCGCACAAATGGCCATAGCATTAGCTCTTTGAGCCTTTGGCTCAGAAGAGCTAAAAACGCGAAACCCGTATAATAATCGTCTTATATAAATGCAACAGTTTCAACTGATAATTCCCTTATAAAGGAATTATCGTCGGATGTCCACAGGTGATCTTGTATTTTACTCATGACCCGTGGGCAAACTCGCCGAAATATCCTCGTATATGTAATCATTTGATTGGTTACTGCACAGAGTCGCGATGGCAAATCAACAAATCACAGTTTTGTACATAGTAAGTATGTTCGGCAATTTTAAAACAAAATTTCTTAAGGGTCTTTACCATATGAGAGGAAATAGGAAAGTAAAAAACGTATTTTCAAAATTGAAGAGTTTTAACTTTTTGATTGTTGTCTATAATCGACGAATTTGCATATTTAACAATGATATTTCAGCCAGTTTGCCCACGGATGGTGAGTAAAATACGAGATCCAACGTAGATATCCGACGAAGGACATTTCATTGATTATATTTAATTTATTTATATCTGTATACAACTATAAAATATTGATATATAGGGGGTCGGAATTCATAAAAGACTCTATAATCAACATTGGTGGAAGGGCTTATTCTCTATCCGCTACCGCTACGCTCCCAGCACCCCTGCCAACGCTTGTTGTATGATTCTTGTACAAGTTTTAAATGTTGAAATTTAACTTTAAATCTTAATAAATTAATGTAACTATCAATAAAGATGATATTTATCATTTATTTCAAAATTATCATCCCTTATAACACTTTATTTCTTCAGTTACTTTTTTGCGGAGTAAAACTTAGGGAAAAAATCATTTTAAAGGATAATAGCTTAAAAATAATTTTTTTTTATTGATAAATGATATATTTAAAAGGTATTCTTGATACAATTCTCACCATTTACAATTTTTTCAAGAATCTTATAAAATAAGCGTTGACAGAGGTGTACATGAATGTGGAAGCGTAGCGAGAACAACTCTGGATAGAGCAAGCGAAGGGCTAAGAAACAGTTGACCTTTGGCTCATCTTAATTCTGGCTTTTAAAACGGGTTAATAATCTAAAGGTTTGATAATGTTTAACAGCAGTCGGTTTTCAAAAGAATTGAATGACAAAAAAGTCAGGGGATGAAGTGCTGCCTGATTGAATAGAACACCAAATCGGTAATAGATAAATTTAAAGATATTAATTAAACTTAGAATTTCTTTCTAAGGAATCTGCAAGAGAAATAATATCTTATGTAAATATAGTTAATTATATAAGAATTGTTCTTACCAAGACCCTTGGTGCCCTTGAATCCCCCTAATGTTAGTTTATACTTCTCAGCGCCATTACCGATGTAGAATGTGGAGTAAGTGGCATGTGCTTTTTGTCTAGAGAATCTCTCCAGATCTATCCTTAGTTCTTGCTTTTTGTCTTTTGTCAGTGTGTGAATAGCATCATTTCCTAAACATAAAAAGTTTTTTTTACTAATTATACAGGGAAAAAAAATATTAATGTGTTGCAAATGCAGATCTTACCCAGCCAATATTCATTCTCGGCGTCACCAAATCCATTCTTGTACTCGGCCCAGTTCCTGTAGAAGTCGGTCACGCCATCTTGTCGTCTTTGTATCACCTGAAATGAAGGAAGGAGCTGAAATACACTGAATATGTGTAGTTTCATGGCCGTAGGAATCGGGGGGGGGGGGGGTACGGGGGGCCGTCCCCTCCCCTCATAATATTGCCGATATATAGAATACTATTGAAAACATAGCTACTATATGCTTGTGCCCCCTCAATAATAACGTCAAGGTGAAACTGCTTCCTACGGGCCTGAGTTTAACAAAGACCTTACTGAGTTATTTTACAGTTAACATATAATATGTAACTTGTATAAAGATTTACATTCAAAATACAGAATTTATGAATCTCTACTTTTGAAACAACTAAGTAATGACGTTATGAACTCTGTAAAGTATTCCAGTGAAAGAAAAAGGAGAGAGTGTTCAACGCATAATTATGTTTCAATATTATCATTTGTCATGGTTACCGTCCATCCGCCTCCGTCAGTCGTCATGTCACAGAACACCGACTTCTTTGTCTTCATGTCTGGATAAATCGTGTACACGCCGTCTTTACTCAGGGGTCTGTGTTTGAGGATATCAGCACAGTCTTTGTGCTTCTCTTTGATATCTGGAAAATAGGAAAATAACCATTTAAATAGGGGTTTGAAGAACAAAGGGTCCATGAGCCATACGCTGACATCATAGTAACTATGGTCCTGTTGTACTACAATATTCCTAACGGATTTTACTGTGTATTCCAGTGAAGGGCTTCAAATTTAAACCTATACTCGGCACACAGGACCACTTACCGTGAGAGAGGACCTGTTTTAAGGTCTCATCCGAAAGACCCATGCCTTTCATTTCAAATGCTTGGTGGAGGAACAGTCACTACCTATTTTTACGTCTTAGTTTCGACAAGACACAGGGAACGAGAATCGAACCCGGTATCTCCCGGTCACGAAGCGAGCGTCTTACCACTTGCCACTGTGACCTACACATCCGAGGGTGCTTCCTTAATATTATGACTAATTATGCCTTTGCTGTTCTTAAGATTAAAATTTTTAAACATTTTCTCTATATATTCCTGTATTAAACTTAGTTCACTCACTTTGGTCCCATCCTACCGATAATCATTTGAAGAAGTACAAATACAATTTTGAATCCACACTACCTAAGAATGCTAAATCATCGTAAGATTTTTTTTTTACTTTGATAACCTACATGTTCATGTATTTTGGCCCCATACCTACCCCAGGTTCATGATTTGAACAAATTTCAGTCTACATTGCCTGATAATACTTCTATATAAATATGAACGAAAAGCTGATATTTAGAAATAAAAAATCCAATATATTGCAATGTATAGCTTTGATCATCAGTTGTGGCTGCAGCCGCTGCATCCTACCCCTGGGGTCATGATTTGAATTAACTTGAATCTAAACTAGAAAAAAATGTATACAGATTTTTACTAATAAATCCAATGGTAAACTTTGATCGTCCATTGCGGCCCTACCCGACCCCCCCCCCCCCCCCCCGGCGTCATAATTTGAACAAACTTGAATCTACGGTATGTAATGAAGCTTTCAGATAAATTTCATCTTTTCCGAGAAAAGAATTTTTGAAAGATGTCATAATAATTTCAATAATTCTTAATTATCTTCCCTTGAAAGAGGGCGTGGATTTTCATTTAGACAACTTGAATCCCCTTTTCCCACAGATGCTTTGTGGCAAGTTTCGTTGACATTGACCCAATGTTTCTTAAGTGTGAAGAATTTACAGACGACAGATAGCACACAACAGACGAACGCCGGACACCGTTCGATCAGAGAAGCTTACTTGAGCTTTGGGCGCAGTTGGGCAAAAATGTGGGGAAATGGGTTCTTCTTTTAAATTGATTAGTCGTTTTACGTTGATATTGAAAAAAAAAAAACATTTATTTCTATTAAAACAGTGTCTGACTCTTCCATGATGTAATTCATTTCATTCTAACCGTCACTCTAGCTCAGTCGTTAGAGCGCTCGCTCCGTGATCGGAAGGTCGTGTGTTCGAATCACGGCCGCGACTGACCTAAGTCAATAAAAAATAGGTAGCAACTGTTCCTTCGCCACGCGCTCGGCACTGTTGTGTGTATTTCGAATGAGACCTTAAAACCGAGGCACCGTGTGACGGTAGGCGTTAGCACGATAAAGAACCCTCACTGCTCAATGGCCCTGAGTGCGGAGTAAAGGTCTAAATTTGAAGCCCTTCACCGGCATATAGTGACGTCTCTATATGAGTGAAAAATTCTCGAACGGGACGTTAAACAGCACACAATCAATCAATCAATCATTCCATTCTGTTATAACAATGTTTTTCTTTGAGTCTTACATGACGTGAAAATCATAAGGCCTATTTCTTTTTTGCTTGGATTTTAAAGGGAATTAATCTTACGTGATTTCAGAAACACCTGTCCATTCCTTAGTTTATAACTTGACTGCAGATTTAGAGTCATAGGTCCGTGTATAGAGATAACTGTATTCTTGTGATCCCATTTAGACTTCCTCAACATAGCTTTCATTTCATCTAAACACACAAAATATAAAATACAAATACAAATATTAATGATTTTGTTGTTAATTTCTTGACAAAATACGATCATCAGCAGGAAAAAAAATTCTTTGAATTACACATGATGTGTTAGTTTATCTCCTGTATTTGTTTTATAGTAATAATAGCATTTCTTTTACTATTTAATGGTAATAAGTTTTTTCAATAGACTGTTGCCATTGTACAAAGATGCCACAGTTCAAAAGGTAGCAAGTATATTTACACGATTTAATTATAAATTAAGACTAATTCTTGATGAGAACCTACTATACCACATAATCAGTGGAAACGGAAGAAGCTAGTAATAATCATTGTATTCAAGCATTATTTCAGAAAAGTGAAATTTAAACTTGCTGGATAACTACTAGAAAATAAAAAAAACATAACTCCATAGAAAATTATTATGTATTCATATCAATAAAGTTCTATCAATAAATAAAAACAAAAACAAAATGCATAATTGACCTGTTAAGTGAAGCTTAATCCCTGCAGAATAGACGAGAGAAAATACAGCTGTTAAAACCACAAACTTCAACATTGTTTCCGTTTTTCACAGTTGCAAGGTTTTCACAAGAACACAGTTGTTCCTGAAGGGATGTACAATATTTATATATATAACGTGTTGAAGGAGGTATTCATTACAATGTAATTAAAATGACATTTGATATAATTGTACATGTATGTAATATCATATGTGAACGTATCACAACATGAACATACAAAAGTGTTACATATTTTAACTACGTTTTAAGGTGGTATGGGATACCAAACGAAACTTCTCCTACATATTTATGTACCCAAATTAGAAGGATTTGAAATACCCCCACCTTTCAGTATATTAAAGTGTAATTTTAATAATTTTTTTATTATTTTAATGAGAAATACAAAAACGATTTTTTTTTTCTTGCATAATTCTTTTTTCATAAGCTTAATGTTATAGGCAGGCGTTTGCTAATATAAAGTGTTTATAAAAACAAAAATGACAAGAAATATGTCTTAGTATTTTTTTAATTTTCAACAAAAAATAAGCGTAAAAAACTGGGAAAACTTTATTTCTTGAAAACAGACGGATAACATTTCATGAAAGTCTACAATAAGAATGTATCTTGATATGTTAGCAAAGTGAAATAAACAAATTGAAAATATATATATAAATGGAAAATATAAAATGCATTTAAAATTTTTTGAATTAAAAGATCCGAGCGGAAGAGTTATCCTTCTTTATTTTAGAAATGATGAGCATTTTTTCCCAACCATAAAAAAATCGCACTTTGTAGTTTTCAACTTTGAGCGGTTTTGAAAACAATGCATGGACAATCGCTTTCCAGGACGTGTCTTGTTCAGAGCAATTGCATTCATCTGAACGTTTTGGGACTATATACAACAGCTAGCTGATTTGTGACCAAACAGTTTCTTCTTGAATTAAATAACAAAAAAGTCCAGCTCTGGTTAACGTGATAATTGATTGGTGATAATTCAGCACAATGTGAAGTAATCGCACTTATCCATGCCTCACCGCACACAAGGTGCTGTACAGTTACTCAAACAATTGAAATACAGCTTTTGCTTAAAAGTGTTCAAAAGCAGCAATGTTGAAACTACCTTTTACAGGGGTTTGCTTTTTTAAATGTCCGTTGTACAATTGTAAGTAAATTTATATACTTGCGATTTTTTGGTCTGTTTTTACTTAAAATGCCGACTTGTGATGACTTGCATTGAAATAGGCTTGAGAGTGTTCTTTTCAACGGTGTATCTACAAATTTTGACCCGATAATAAGCACTCATGCAAATCAAAACAATACTTCAAACGGAAATACGTCATAACGTGGAGGTATCCCATACTACCTTAAGAGAATATAAGGATTATGAAATGTATTTTTTTAAATTATAATAATGAAGTTGAAATATAGTTCATGAAACCCCCACCCACCCCCGGGAAAAAAATCAATTAATATCGACGATTAAATTGACATGAACATATAATGTTATACCGTATATCAGGTTTTTTCTGCGTGTATCCAATTTCCGCTTTGTTGGCGACGATTTCTGAATCGAAAAATAAATCAGCGTAAATTTGAAACAAAGTTTTGTTCTTGTTATAGAGTTGTCTCTCTTTGCTTATATAGTAGAGGGTAGGAATACCGGGATCAGAGGACAAGCGCCAGACAACAGGTTATGTTCGTTTCGTGATTGAAAGGTACCGGGTTCGATTCTCGTTCTGATCGCCGTTTCAAACCTAAGACGTGAACATAGGTAGTGACTGTTTCTTCATCAAATGCCCGGCATTAGAAGTGAAAGTCATGGGTCATGTACAATAAATAATGATATAATGCAAAAGAGCCCTTTTCTTTATAGTGATTTATTAATTTAACAAAATAGAGATAACAGATAATAAATAGAAGCAATCATAATTGTCTATCTAAATGCTGAATTAATGAAATTGCACCACTTGTAATCATTATGAAGAAATCAATGTATGAAACTATTCATATTTACCTTGTCAGAATCAACCAATCATAAAAAAGGTTATTGAATAGTCATACAGCAATTGACTAATCATGATTGTTATAACACAGCTATGTTGGAAATCAACCATATCAGAAAATTATTTGGATAATTCTTATTTTAGATTAATAATCTCTCTTATTTGTGAGCATTAATACAGACTGTTCATTAAGTGTAAAAAAAAATTACATGTGGCTTAACACTTAACATAATGATAAACATGTGCATTCCAAAATCACCTAGCATTATCACTTAATATAAGCAACATAGTACACCCTAATCAATAAAAATGTTCAAAATGAATGGCAAAAAATTTGTAGACTAGAATAAATTTTATGTTGTTGAAATTTTAGCAGTCAGAATACTCAACAATGAACACAGCTATCTAAATCACACCATTTCTACATTTACATGACTGTATGAAATTCATATGTCTAGAAATGAAAAAAAAAATTATGTACAACATTAAAAATGTTTGTAGTACAGACTTGGGACTCTATAATGAATGAACTAAAAGGTCAAGTGTGAAATACATGGTAAGTATTTGATAAACAATTAATGCATGGCATGAACACTTATATAGTCACTGAAATTCAAACATAAAATGATAATAATTACAAAAAGCAGAAAAAATGCAAATTAATTATTGACCAACTTTACAACAATGTACAACATGAAATTAATTTGCATACAGAAGTATTTTTTAAAAGCACTTGTAATTAAAAAAAAATCATTTGTTCAGTAAAAAAATTAAGTATAGAAGATTATTATAATATATCAATCAATTTTTTTCTTTTGATAAAATATTAAGTAGACAAAAAGTAAATTCATGAATGAAAAAATTACAAATTCCATCCTTCAGAGTTATTGAGGATAAAAAAAAAACCCACACACAAAGATGCTCTACAAAAGGAGAAAGGCAAACAAATTGATTAGTCCAATAAAATATTGTAACAATCTCTCATTATTACATTTATATCGTGAAACTTTGTACTTTGATTTATATTAATGTATTTAGAAGGGGGCATTGGTAGTTTAAGTTTTTATTCTTCAAAAATTTCGGTAGAATTTCAAGACCTACATAGAATGGATTGACATATATTATAAATGCTTGCTTTAGAAATCTTCATCTTAATTCAGAAAATGATCAACCTTACAAATTTGTGCATGTTTGATTTTCATAGATCGTGCACTTTTACAAAGTTAAATTTATCCTTAATATTTAATGTGAATGGGAGAATATGTGGAGTATTCATAAAAATATTAGAATTATAATCAAGAAGTGTAAGACCAACACATCAGTGTTGTCCGTTTCTGTTCAATAATGTGGTCTTAGCAAATCAAATACACCCCATAAAAAGATAATCATAAACATAAACAGAGCTTGAGCTCATGTTTATGAACTTGTTCTGTATAATGTTATCAAGAATATCAATGTTATTGAATTGGGGACTTTTCATGGTTATGTCCCTTTACATATTTCAATCATCATATATTTTAATGATGTTTAAACAGCAACTTAATTTAAAAAGTTGTTTGCATAGATATACATAAAAAAATATAAGAGTACAATATTCTAAGGAAATAAAAACAGTTGGATAGTATTTTTGATATTCAAGTATTGGGAGATGTAAGATAAAATTAATGCATAAATGTGACACACAACCAGAGTAAACAACCTTTGTATATGGACAAAAAAGCCAATAAAAGCTAAACCATTCTATAATAATATTAATACATTCCATCATTATATAAATACAGCTAATGAATAGCAAAATACCCTTAATTTATACAAAGAAATATTCAGAGGTCACATCTGTATCTCTGTGAAAAAAGTCAGCATAATATTAATTTTCAGGATTTAATTTTTGTTTTTAATTCAGGTATCTTAATGCTCATAAACTGCCAAAAAAAATATTCGTTTCAATTATAAAATATACGAACAAATATCTAAACCCAAATTTATCAACAATATTAAGCATGCACTGGTAATCACCATTAAAAAATCCTCCATAATGAATTTCTTAATAGCAAAACAATGCCACTGTAATATGATGTGTTCGACATGATAAAAAAAACTTTTTTCTTAAAAAAAATTCAAATCACGATCTACATGCCCAGTGAATACTGACTTGATACTAACATTGTACAAGTAGATATCAAATTCTGAAAACCTCTTCTTATGCCCTGTTCACACGGAGAGTTTAATTCGAATTAAACGTAAGTTACTGCGAATTAAATCTGATCCGCGTTCACACGGAGAATTTAATGCGAATTAGTTTAATTCAAATTAGTTTACTGCGCATTAAATTACTTCGCATTAGCTCCGTGTGAATGCTAAGCGAAGCTAATTCGAATTAAATTTTGACGTAAGCGTAAGTGCAGAATTAAGTCACAGGCCACATGTCGGTGGTCAGATATAGGTATTTGTGCTATTTTTGAGTGGAAAACAAAGGGAAATTATGATAATCACTAAAATGTGTACAGACACTGTGACATTATATCAAATCAGTGGTCAAATGTATCTGCTCAGCACAATGTGACGTGATTCGCAAAATGACGTCATAATAGCCTTACTGAATAGCCTTATTGTAGAAATAAAAATTTAATTCGCATTAGTTTACTTCGCATTAGTTGTCGTGTGAACGTAATTTAATTCGCATTAGTTTAATTCGCATTAGTTTACTTCGCATTAATTTACTGCGAATTAAACTCTCCGTGTGAACAGGGCATTAAATAAAAAGTTTCACCATTTAAAACAAATTCTATCGTTGAACATGTTGAATACTTATTTATAATGTTCCCCTTCCACTAATACTCCTCATATAAAAAATATATTTTATAATGGTATATGTTGACAACCCATATGTATATAGTCTCAGAGCTACAAGCGCTGAGAATCACAATAATTACGTACGTGTTGCAGTGAGAGAAACATTTTGTACATTATTATCCTTGAAGAACTCAAACATGAACCAAAACACATTCTTTTTAGGAAGTTTTCCTCTCACTTATCATTCCTCTCTGGGAATCCTGAAACTATGGAAATGTTTTGTGCTTTTTAACATCATCTGTAACCATGGTAACATATCCTAATCTCGATATTTTGTTGGACTAGCAAAGTTTGAACAGGTTCTTGGATACACACTCTTAGATGAGTCTGGAATTCTTCAGATATTGGATCAGAGTCTTGTGGATAAAGTTGTACTGCCCTAAAGTCTGAACCATGAACATTCGCTGTTGTCTGATAGCACCCAGAGCCTTTGGAAGATCTATATCCTAAAGAAATAGAATTATTCAGAACATTTAAAATAATGGACTTAAGTTTTTACTCTTCACAGATACTGATCCAACACATAAATGAAAAGTAGTTTATTGCATAACAATTACTTTTTTCGCAACAATCTGATTAAAATCAGATCCTCAATGCTCCTTAAGCGACACATCGTTAAAAAAGGAGCATCGAGGATCTGATTTTAATCAGATTGTTTTTTCGCACATGCAGGAAAATAACGTACAAGTTGAATTTTTAGCAAGATGCAAATTTCGCTATTTATCCTTAAAAATTGGCATATATTTTTAGCAAGAAGTTATTTTGGTGGTTTTATAATGCCAACAAAAAAGCTATTACAACTAATACACAATTAATATTGTTAGCGATATTCAATTTTAGCAACCTCAACATCTTCGCTAATAATGCCCAAATTGAATCCTTGCTAAAAATTCTGCTTATACGATAGCTTCTAAATCCACTAATCTACTATCACGTTTTTTTTTCAAAAAACAAAAAGTGACTTACAAAGTTGTGTTCCAGACACCACTTCATGACCTGGGTAAGAATCACCACCCCCGTCCTCCCCACCCCCGCACTACAATGGACGACAATGGGGGACTTTTTTCCACTTCCCTCCTCACTCTCGGCAAGTCTTTGTACAGAGTCTACCTCATCCAGAAAGCCTGCAGGTACATAATAATATTATACCAGAAAACACTGACATCACTTTTTTACATAAATTGTTCCTGATTTGTCTTCGGTTTTAAATTTTTTATTTTCATTGTTACAAATTCAAACCTACAAAAAAAATCTTTAAAAAATACCTATCAAAATCCAATTGTTGTTCAAGCGATGACAAAAATACTTTTCCTAGACATAAATGCCACACATATATCAAATAATATATCCAAAATAATTTCTTATGATTTGAAATCATGACTGGGCAGAAGTCTTTTCTTTTTGTAAAAGGGAAATATAATTTACCTAAGAACCCATACATGTCCTCAGGACATCCGTGGTCTGGCCAGTCTGTGTACTGAAGGTGCCACACCTGTTTCTCTTTCTTAGTGGGCAGGTGTACTACAGAGATTCTATCGGTGATGTAACACAGGGAATCATTACAAAACAGCAGGGTCACCTCAAACTACAATGAGAGAGGGGAGATTTCTCAGCATTAAGCGGAACATGAAGAAAACAAGAGGCCCATGGGCCACAAAGCTCACCTGAGTTACTTTGGCCCTGCTGTTCTTCACAAGACCTCCCCTTTGTAATATTTATTGTGGCCCCGCCCTACCCCCCGGGACCATGAATTGAAGAATTTAGAATCTACACTACCCAAGGATGCCTCCACGTAGCTTTTCTGGCCCAGTGATTCTTGAGAAGAAGATTTTCAAAGATTTTGCCTATATATTTCAATGTAAAACTTTGATTCCCTATTGTGGCCACGCCCTACCCCAAAGGGGCTATGATTTGAACAATTTAGAATCTACACTACCCAAGGATGCTTCCACATAAGTTTCAGCTTTTCTGGCCCAGTGATTCTTGAGAAGAAGATTTTCAAAGATTTTGCCTATATATTTCAATGTAAAACTTTGATTCCCTATTGTGGCCACGCCCTACCCCAAAGGGGCTATGATTTGAACAATTTAGAATCTACACTACCCAAGGATGCTTCCACATAAGTTTCAGCTTTTCTGGCTCAGTTGTTCTTGAGAAGAAGATTTTCAAAGATTTTGCCTATATATTTCAATGTAAAGCTTTGATTTCCTACTGTGGCCCCGCCCTACCCCCGGGGGCTATGATTTGAACAATTTAGAATCTACACTACCCAAGGATGCTTCCACATAAGTTTCAGCTTTTCTGGCCCTGTGGTTCTTGAGAAGAAGATTTTTTTAATGACCCCACCCAATTCTTGTCTTTTTTTGATTATCTCCCCTTGTAAGGGGGGTTGGCCCTTCATTTTATCAATTTAAACTCCCCTTCACCCAAGGATGCTCTGTACCAACTTTGGTTAAAATTGGCTCAGTGGTTCTTGAGAAGAAGTTGAAAATGTGAAAAGTTTACAGACGGACGGACAGACAGACAGCTAGACAGATGGACGGACACCAGACAACAGGTGATCAGAAAAGCTCACTTGAGCTTTCAGCTCAGGTGAGCTAAAAACATAATATTCATTTTATGATTCAAAATATTTTCTAAATTTTAATTCTGAGGAAGGGAGATAACTCAGAACCAGTGACAGAATATTTAGAAAACTTTGATTTGATTTTACCAAACATGCATGGTATTAAATTAATTCCTTATTTACTGACATACTGATGGGAGCAAAAATTATATTTCATCACATTTTCAATACATTTAAATCTTAGTGGAAGGTTTGTATCAATTGTGTTTCTTCAAGTTTCACTTTGATCTTAAGACTTGACTAAATACCTGTCCAAATGTAATCTTATGGTCTGGTCCAATCTCTTGAGGCCAGTAAGTGTGGCACTTCTGTTTTCCCTGCTCCTGAAAGTAAATGAAGAATTCAGTTCATTAAAACATATACAGAACAAAATCATACTGTAAAAGTTACTTCCAAACAGAAATATTCATTCATGTACATTTGCTCAGATGACAGTCAGTACAGACTTACAGCTAGATCTGTTAACATGGCTATGACATCCACTTCCTGTTCCCAGATCATCTGCCAGAAATCTACAGATGTTTCCTCCATTGGAGCCTGTGTGGCAATGTACCACCAGACCCGGTCACCAAAGGACAGCTGTAAGAATATAAGTTGAACATTAAAATCACATGCCATATACATTTTTTTTTTACATGTACCTGATACCTTGAATATTAAGGTTCATTAACACTCTGATAAGAAAGATAACTCTCACTGGATAATTGACAACTATTACCAGGTATTTTATAAAATTGTCAAGTTAATATGCCATTTCTTTCAAATTTTTTCCCACTAAGTATGCTGAAATTGTATGCATCTTAATTACAATTTAGAATTCTTACTGAAAATCACTAGCATTAAATTATTAAAATCTTATAATATGATGTACTGCAAAATTAATGATAAAAATTAAAGAGATTTCAACATTTTGTTTTTCATAACTGACCTTAATATGTGAAGCATTAACGTAACCAGAGTGGTTGTCCTTCCTGGGGGTCAGTTTGACCCGAGTGACATCATACGGCAGGACATCCCTGAACCTGTTTCGGCCCTCATTCTCTGGAAGTCTGGCTACACTACACTCAGCTGATTGGACCTTTTTGGGGATTTCCTCAAACTCTTTAAATACCAAGTTCTCTGACAATTTGTTTTCCAGAAGCTTTCTCTGAAAAAAATATAAATTCAACAAAATTATCTATTAAATATTGATAATAATTAATTTATTTAATCCTTACCCTATATTTTGACTAATTGTACCCTTTTTTTTAATTTCCACTTTTGATACCTACCCTCTCATCCTTTGGAGCTCTGCTTTCATCATTCATAAGAGCTAATACCATTGGTCGAGACATTGTTAGGCCATTCATGGCAGCCATCTTTAGAGGTCCCATCTTCAATTTTACAGTAGCATCCTAAAATGGTATCATGTATTAATACATGCAAGTTGCATGCATTTATTAAACTGAATTTGGCATCAACGAGTGTATGCAAACTTCTACTTTTCAAAATCTTGCTATTAAATTCTTTTTCATTTCAATATTTAGGAATCTAAATTCTATTTCAGAAGATAACTAAAAAATTAATCTTGTTGTATCTTTATTAATGTAAAAAAAAAATATATTTCCTACCTTTTCATAGTCTGAATCACTATCATCCTCTGGGGGCACCTGTTCCTCTGACTCTGTGCTGACCTGTCTGACAAAGTTCCCCACTGGGGGAACCACATCCAGTCCAGTAAACTTTGTTGCTATATCTGAGGCTCGCCTGGTGATGGGGGGTGGTACCTCCGGCTTCTTGTGGGACAGTCTCCGACTGGAGAACCGCCGTATGAAGGTAGACTGACTGGTGATTGGCTTGACCGCCACATTACTACCATCTGTGTGCTCAGGGATGACCACTGGGTCTTGAGGATCATCCTTCTTGATGGGATTTTCCTGTGTTGTCCGTGCTATCATCTGACGACGGAAACTCTCCCTTCGAGTAATAAGCTCTTTAGTGGTGGAAGGAGGGGGTGCTTTGTTGGGGGCCACATATTTGATGGCTATTTTTGATTTTACACTGTCTAACTTTGGACTTTTATCATCTTCTTTCTCACTGTCTGTGTCCTTGACATGAAACGTAGCACCTGAGTGGTCACTCGAGGCGTCATCTGTCTCTGGGTGCTGAACTGTGATATGAGGACTCACTCCCAGGGTTGAAATATTTGGCAAGACCAATGGTGGCTTTGCTGAATCTGTTGTGTCTCTTTGTAATATTGCACTTTCTGGGTTAAGTATCACATTTTCAGAAGTACTTGCAGGATAAGGGTTTAATTCAGTGTGATCTAGCACAACCTTTGGAACATTCTCCACACTTCCATTAAAACTTGTTTTCACACCCAAGTTTTTTCGTGACACTAAATCTGGACTCTCCCCTACTTTAGTTCTGACAGTCTGGTTTGCTAAGTCTGGGGTACTTGTGCTGGACCTGGGATAAGGGGGTGGGGGCTTGTAATGGAGGGGCTCAGTCTCTTTAATACTGAACTGGGGTAACTGAGAATTTAACTCTGGGGAACTGTACGTTGGCTGCATTACTAAGTTACTTCCCCTGTTACCAAGATCTGTCGTGAAGACTGCCCTATTTGCATACATTGTGTTGTTGTTGTAAGAAGACATAAGTTCACTGTTCATATATGCATTTCCAGTGGTAAAAGTAACATCCGGGTTATACATTATACCAGGAGGAGGCTGCTGCATTAATACTGCGTCATGTAAAATTCTTGGGGAGGTTGGGGGGTACAATTTGTGGTCTGGGATAGGGTTTGGATGATGGTGTGATTGGAGAATGGGGGAGCTATGAACAGCAGCTGGGGGCTGCTGGCTCATTCGACGTCGCATCACTTCCTCGTAGCTGGGACTCGGTCTATACGCCGGTAATAAGGGAGACTTGTGGGAATCACTTCTCTGTACAGGAGTGTGCTGACCAATCACAGGGCTGTCTGTGATCAGCTGACCTCCATTGATATGCGTGAAGCTTCCATCACCAGAATAGTGAATGATGTCACTGTGAGTGGTCTCCAAGCTCTGCTGTGACTGACGATAAAAATCCTCAAAGGAAGACTGCGATAAATCTAGAAAAGAAAAATAGAAACTGGTATAAATTACTTGTAAATGTAAGACAGTCACTTTAAAGTATAATGACTACTCAATACAAACATTAGAGAAGTTATTACAAAGAATTAAACATAAATAACACACAAAACAACAAAAGAATTTGCCATTTTATACAGTGTTTCAACGAACACATGACTGTCATGTGACCTCACCTGGATCAAACCTCTGGTCATGTGACAATTGGGAATGTGTGGAATGTTGAGAGTAAGTCAGTGATGTTTGGGACTGGGTCTGGAAAAGAAACCCAGTATATCATTAGTGAAACATTCCTGAAAATTTCATTTAAAATCTCAAACTATCAAAGGGCTACATGTATTTGTTGTCATGCTTAATTTCAATGTGAAATCCCCTAAAGAAACAACATTTCTTTTCAGAGCGGGAAAAAACAGATCTAGATCTAATGTATGAATTGTATGGCTTACCAGTGGATCTGAGAAGACTTGCTGTGATGTTTGAATATCATCCCTAAAAAGAAAGGTCAAGTACATATTAAGAATATGGCTTCTTACATGTATATTATATTAACTAAAAATTACTTGGCAACATTACAAGAAGCAATTAAGAAATAACGAATACACATCTGTAAATAGAAATGTTCACAAAACAAAATGCATTTACATCAAGTATATGTATCTGAAGATCAATAGCGTAATGCCATTTTTAGTATTTGGAAATATTTTTAGCATACACATTTTTGGGGGTAAATACTGCATATGTACTTGGTTAATATCTTGATTATTCATAGAATATAAAGGACAAAAAACTGCCAAATTTATCATTTTTAAAATTTGACTGATTTATTTCCAACAGAAAATAGCATTTTCAAAATTTTAAAAACTGGATGTTGAAAGCCTGAAAAATCAATATTATTAATGATTAGACTGATTTATATTTCAAACAGAAAACTGCATTTTAAAAATAAAGTTTTAAAAATTTGGATGTTGAAAGTCAATGAATCATTCCAGGCCAAAAGAGTAGTGCTGACCATAAAGTGTGATAAATGGCTTGATTATTGAAATGATAATGATTGAAATAGAGGTTAAATACATGTACATAGAGCTATACCTGACAACCAAGGTTAAAATAAGCTATATTATACATTACTTGATATGATATACCCCGTGATTAATGAATAATATAGTATTACTGAAATAGAAAATGCAACTCTATGTACTACAGTATATCACCATGGTGATGTAGTTGTCAAGGAAACAAGCTAAGAATAGTAACATGCAGAGAGCAAAGCTTACTGTCCCGCATCTGCCGAGAGGTCAGAAAGGTCAACGATACTGGAACTGTAAACAGATTGTCATGCATCATTCTATTTATAGAACCATTCTATTTATAGAACATGCTAAGGCCAGCCAGTGCAATTCATTCTAATCGACCTTAAGATGCATTGTGAGTTTGTTCTGCAGGTACAGACTCAAATTCAACCAAGCCAAAAGAAAAAATGGTAATTTTTCTATCAGAAATTAACTTAAGTCTTTTCTTTATTGACATGCATTTACATAAAAAAAATTACTATACAGCTTACAAATAAACAAATGGAGTTAAAGCATAAAATCAACAACTATGGGTAAAAAGAAGCCATTTTCAAAATCCCTTTCTGTACCAAATATGCTGTACATGTGTACATAAAATATCCTTTTAAAGATGACTTGACAGGATTGCAAAGTATTACAATTATGGCTTCACTCCAATGAAATCTAGATATTGTTGAGATCAGTCCTAAATTATCTGCTCAGTGAATAAGAACTGAGACAGAGGTATATGCTGGAAATCATATACCAGTTCAAAATCAAGGTCAAAGTCAACATAAGTGCATGTATAAGGTTTGAAGATTATTTATAAATAACCACACGTGTACATAGCTGAATGAAATTGATATTTGCTTTGCAATCCTGCAAATAACATTTATAGTACATGTAAAAAGATGACTGAACATGCTGAAAAATAAACGAAAATGTAAATGCAAATATTTTCTTCTCACTGTTCAGAATAGTTAATGTAGACTCAAAATTTCATTACCTTGGGGTCATTTTGTTGGTTTTGTGGAACTTCTGTATAAGGTATCCCATCCTCTTCAGGTATTTAGCTGTATCTGAGTCCTCCTGTTAAAGACAAAAACATCACAACTACTGCTGATCTTTTGTTGTTCGTATCAAACAAATGCTTATGTTAAACATGAACTGAAAATTTATCTGAAAATATCCTCGATTTCGATGTTTAACATGCATTCAGTGTATTTTCTCCAAGATCATTCAATATTTAAATAAAAAATATGACTCATTTTAAACTTACCATTGTGTAATGAGAGGAACTCTTTGACGTATCAACCTCCAAGACTTTCTTACTTTGAGTCAGTCTGGCAATCTCTGCCCATCTAAAAATAAACACTCATTTCATAAAGGAATACCTTTCTCAGGATTAAACCTCATAAATATCTTAAAAAGCATCACTTATTTCTAAACACATGTACATACCTGAAACATATTGTAGGTGAGCCATCCAGGTATCTAGCCAATATACCTGTGTAGGAAGTCCCCAGGTAAAGCTCTTTACCTCTTTCATCCTGTGAAATAATTGTGTCATATTAAACTATGTGTCAATGAAGATCACAAATCTTAAACTTTCAGTATTTTTATGATTATTTTTGTAACATTTTAAATACACTTGATACACTGAACTGTATGGCTTTGTATCTATATTTGTGAATGTACATGTATCATTGTAGAGCAAGTACATGTATCAAGATATATCACTGTATTGATATACTGTTAATACCACAATAAAGTAAGTAGTGCAAACACAATAAACCAAATACAGGGTCTTCTCTAAGAAGACCTTTAAAAACAGCATTTTCTATGACTGATCATATTAATAATATTGGTACCTTGGCTGTGTAATACTCCATGCCATAACCATCCATCATTTGTATTTCTTTGATGTACTGCATCTCGGCCTTTACTGGGTGGATGCCTTGTAGGTTCTGGTAGGAGTTAAGTACCTCATGCATCATCTCTGACACAGCATTATCATCCCGACACATTGTCTGTTTAAAGTAAATCCCTAGACATTTAACACTACCATTTCTCTTCAGCAATAGAAGAGTTCTCATTTTTTAAGTAATAACATTTTAAATTTGATAATCTAACTCAAGATACATGATAAATAATGATTCAAATTAAATTGTTCACATTCCAGCTAAAATACATTTTGTATTAAAAATTAAACAGAATCAAAATTCTCCTTTGAACAAAATTTCTGTACATTGATTTTATTTGAGTTTACAAACTTTAAGGAGATTTAAGTTCAATCTGCTATTTGTACTACCTTAGGAAATAAATCATTATCTTCAAAATATTCCTGCTGTTGTTTGTCATATTCATAATCCCCAAACTCAGCTGCAAAATAAGTGAAACAAGATGGTGAAGTGTAAACAATAAATACATGTAGGTTTTTAACATTACATATAAAGAATAAGGGTTACAAACACAATGATTCATATATTTTTTTTTAAATCAATGATTAGAACATGTAGTTCTGCTGATATTTATACAACAGAAATTACCCAATATATAGTACCAACGCAGTGTTAATTACAGGATAACTTCATATGCCTTAATTTCAATTTGAAACTGAATCTATACTGTGAAAAAAAGCTCTATGATGTCAAAATTTTTATTACTTATATGTATTTCCCCCCTAGTGAGCCCCTGATGAAGATGATTTTTTCCATTAAGAAAAGCTTTCTTATGAAATTATTTGTTTTCTGACTGAAGATACTGACCTTGTAAACTGAAGGCCCCCAGACGAATGACCTGCTCAATACTGACTGGAATTCTACCCTCGACTATATCTGTCTTCAACTGTAAAAAATACTGATACCTACAACAGAAAACAAAACTTAATTTTAACAACTGCAAGTTTTACAATCTATTTCTTTCACATTGAACATGTTAAATGAACAATGAATTTGTATCATTTGTGGGAAGTATGATAAAGGGATGGGTATTGGCTGATAATTTTATAATGTGATATACTGTGATATTTTTTAACTGTATTGTGATATGTATTGCAATATTTTAAGTATATCGGTACTCACAAAATATATTGCAATACAATATTTTTTGTCAAAAATGGCAAAATATTGATATTATTGCACAGCGCTAGTATGATAAAACTTGCCTTGCCACGTCATCTATGATTTTGTGTGCCCCTGTGATATAAAACATGACCCCAAAGTACAGCCTGGGGGAGTGGCCTGGTTGAAGGTTCTTCTCAATCTGCTTCTTCAATGGCTTTGCCAAGTCAATCCAATGATACTGCATTTTTTTGGTCACATATCGTAAACCAAAATACTGAGTCTATAAAACAAAATATGCTGAATATTAATGGTCATAAAAATAAATCACTAACTAAAGAAAAGTTAAAATCGTTAGTAATTGTAAACCAAAGTACTGTGTATATAGAACGAAGTACATGAGCATGTAAATGTTGAATATTATGTTGGTGTGTAAACTTGAAGCAAAAAAAAAGTTGAGAAAATGTGTTGACTCAATTTTTTTCTTTATGTTGATTATTTTTTAGGGTGGAAGACATATGTAAGCTAAAACATCTAGGTTTGCTTTGATTAATTTGGAGGTTTTTTCACTTCAACTCCTTTTGAATTTTCCAAAATTATTCTGGAGTAAAACTGCTCCATTTTGCTTCACTGCAACTATATGGGACATATTTTAACTGTGGTAAGGGCTTAATTGTCCCGACATGCAGCTCATTCTAACTTGAGTTCTATATGATAATTTTACACTACACAGGATACTGTATACATCAACTGTGTGGTGAAAAAGAGGGAGATTTGAGACTTCAAAAGCGGTGGCATTGTGCAAGGAGTTTTACATGAAGTCATAATTTAAATTCATCCAGTTTCTAGAATACTGATTCTCCCTTTTTCTTGGCTGGGTGTAGACAAAATTTATCTTAACCAATGTGCACACCTGTTATTGTCAAATATTTGCTTGAAATCCATATAAACATAAATAAGAAAAACTTTTGTGTGCTTCCAGTTTAAATCATGTGATATTTTAAAAACCAAAGAGATTTTATGGCCGTTGTAGTATCAAAAATGGCTACCCGAGCCATCCAAAAATGAATTTGGTAGCAAAACAGTAGATTTTTTAATAAAAGCATTAGGCAGGAGAAGAAGTAAAAAAGTAGCTAAGACTTCCATGCAAAGTGGTAGAGTTAATATGTATGCTACCCGGCCTGGTCGAGTTCTATATATTTTTTTAAACTATCTGACCAAGTTCTATACGGAAGTTTTGACAAAACAAAACTGAGTTCTCTATAAAGTTAATATATTCTACTCTACCTGACTGAGTTCTATGCGCTGAGCAATGCTCTCTAGACATTCTTGACCGGTGCTGTCTGAGTTCAGCGTACACTCTAAGTAGGAATGATCCAACATCTCCACCCCAACAACAAACACATTCTTTGTAGAGATGTCATACCGCCTGGTTCTTTTAAATTTTAAGCCAAATGGCATTGTATATTGCTAAAATATCTCTTTAAAATTCTGAAATGCAAAGAAAAACCAGTTGACGGCTGAAACACTAAAGAAAACAGGCAAATGAACAAACCAATTAAAATTAGCTGAATAACGTTAAAACAAAATGCAGCCTAATGAGTACATTGAGACAAAATACTCACTAAGGCAATTCACCATCAACTCCTTGGACTATTGATGACTGATTTGACATAACTATTTCTTCATCCACACCCCCTCATCATGTAGTTAAAACCTCAGGTGTGTTATGATTAAAATGACAAATATTTGGAGCGACTCATTTCTGACTGTCGCAAAACCAATTAAGCTAATGGAAAGTTTTTATCTTAAATTTCAATGAAATTTAAACAGTTTTTCAATTAAAATAGTCTTAACTAGAACGATTGTATTTCGATGAATGAGGCATATGCTTTCAATCATCAAATTTAACTTTCTTTCATATGTCGTTATTTTAGGACATAAGTTGTAGAATAGATTTGAAAAGACTAGAATATTCCGGAATAGTAATTGATAACGAATGGAAAAACACGACAATCAAATAAAGCGAAGCTCAGTAAAGGTGCTTCTGTAAACAAAGTCTGTAACGTGTTTTGATTATTGGGGAGTGGTGGTGGTGCACATAAATAATATCTCTTGTGTAAAAAGGGGGGAGGGGTTGCGATACGGGATTAGTTTCATCAGAAGTTATGAAAGAGGTTTATTGTTGGTAGAATTTTTTTCAGAGTTGTAATATTGAAATAATTAACAAGTAGGCCTATGTTAAAGAAATGAATTATGTAATTTTCTTGTTCCCCCGTTGTCAGTAAAGTGAATTGTCTCAATGATTTTAAATTAAGTTTTTGAATTTTCATTATCCTGGTAATCTCTCTTATAGAAAAAAAACATCTTTCGCATTTATTTTTATTTACAGCATAACTTTGACACAAAATGCAATTTTATATCAAATTAAGTACATGTATACAGGTCCCTGATTAAATACAAGATTAGATGCATCCTTTACGTCATGTGTAAAATTTCCTATAGTTTTGAAAGATACCCAACAAATTGAAAGGAAATGGTGTGTACTGCTCAATACATGTGTGTGTGTGGGGGGGGGGGGGGGGTAAATGCACTAAAAATGATAGCTCTATGCACGTTTTTTTTTTTTTTTTTTTTTTTTTTTTTTTTTTTTTTTTAGAAAAAATTACTTGTAGTGTGTAGTATTCAGGAGACATACATGTAAAAGGGTGGGTACACTACATAGTACATGTACATACACAGCATTGTTACTCCGGTCTTAGATGGTAAACTTCAAAACTTTACTTAGTTTTGTGTTAAATTTGAAGTAACACGATTTCTTTTATCGAAAACGATGGTTTCAGAGTGTTTTTCCCAATGATCAAATTTTAAATAATTTGATCAAAGACGTGTTTTTCTTCAAAAGTGAGTCGTGCATTTGTACTAAAATGGGAAAATTTCTGAATGGTAGAGACTGGAGGATCTGAGAGAAAACAGAATTTATCTGTAATATCTGGTCAAATTGGAAAGCGATGGATGCTTTAATTGCTTCTTGGTGTTAAAACTACTGATAAAAGTATCGTGAGTTTCAGTTGACCGTATTGGATGAAAATGCACACATCAACAAAATAAAATTAATGTTTTTAATATGATTGTGTTTTTTTTGTAATATGAGTAAGAGCGATATTGTCCACGTATTTTTTTTTTGAATGACCCTCCTATTACATGTATTATGAGAACTATATATATCCTGCTACCAGCGCTTGCATTGATCGAATAAAGATATCCTAATAAATCAAAGTTATGATTATTTTGTTAATAACATTCTGATTGAAACACAAGTACTCCGAAGTTGATATTAAACACATGCTTGAGTTTCGGATTGACAATATCATGTATATAGTTTTTGATTATCAAGGCTTCCAACAATCTGTTGGAATTCCCAGGGTACTAATTGCGCCCAGTTATTAGCAGATGTATTTCTGCATTCTGTTTTCATATGACAAACAAGATTTGTTTAAGAAATATTGATGCCCCCGAATGCATGGAAACTTATACCGAAGGTTAAACTTTCTCAAATGAAAATCAAATATGTTGGTACCCAAAGTAAGGTCTTGTCTCGAGGAACATACCTGTGAAAAATGAAAGCCCTAGCAGCACCCATTGAAAACATATTGAAAAGGTTAAAGTTTTTCAAAAGTAAGTCAAATATCAAGATCAAGGTCTAATGTTCAAAATTAATGGTGCCCGATTGCAAGGAAAGGTCATCTCACAAGAAATACACATGTGAAATATGAAAGCTCAAGCACCAACCGTTCTCCAAAGTAAGGTCTTGTCACAAGGATTACATAATCATGTGAAGTATGAAAGCCCTAGCACCAACTGTTCAAAAGTAATGACCAAGGTTTAAGTTTTCCAAAAGTAGGTCAAACTCCAAGGTCAAGTACAATGGGCTATATTTGTAGGGAGAGGGCTAAATAGGCTATGCCTGCTGCCCAATCCCGATCAATTCATTTGAATAAAATTATATACATGTATAAATAATTCTTGGTATCCAAGGAAGGTCATTTCACAAGAAGTACACATGTGAAGTATGAAAGCCCTATCAATAAATGTTCAAAAATTATAGCCAAGATTAAAGTTTTCCAAAACTAGGTCAAATTCCAAGGTCAAGGTCAAAGAGTCAAAGTTGTTGGTATCCAAAGTACGTGTAATTAAGAGGTTGTCACAAGGATTACATATGTGAAGTATGAAAGCCCTAGCACCAACCGTTCAAAAGTTATGGACAAGGTTAAATATTTTCAAAAGTAGGTCAAACTACCGGGTCAAGGTCAATGGGTCAAGGATGTTGGAATCTAAAGGAAGGTCTTGTCACAAGGATTACACATGTGAAATATGAAAGCCCCAAATCCAACTGTTAAAAAAGTATGGCCAAGGATAAAAATGGGTAAAATTTTGCAAAACTAGGTTAAACTCCAAGGTCAAAAAGTCAAATACATGTATGATGGTACCCAAAGAAAGGTTTTTTATGCCCCCGTATCGAAGATTCGGGGGTATATGGTGTTTGTCCTGTCTGTCTAGCTGTCTGTCTAGCTGTCTGTCTGTTTGTGTCTGTCCGCAAAAAATTTAACATTGCCCATAACTTTTGATTGGTTGGAGCTATGACTTTCATATTCAACATGTGTATTCCTTGTGACAAGACCTTTCTTTGGGTACCATCATAATTGACCTTTTGACCTTGACCTTGGAGTTTGACCCAGTTTTACAAAATTTTACCCACCTTTAACATTGGCCATAACTTTTGAACAGTTGGTTCTAGGGCTTTCATACTTCACATGTGCAATTCTTGTGACAAGACCTTCCTTTGGATACCAACAACTTTGACTCTTTGACCTTGACCTAGGAATTTGACCTACATTTGAAAAACTTTAACCTTGGCCATAACTTTTGAACGGTTGGTGCTAGGGCTTTCATACTTTACATTTGTAATCCTTGTGACAAGATCTTACTTTGGATACCTTTGACCTTGACCCTGGAGTTTGACATACTTCTGGAAAACTTTAACCTTGGCCATAACTTTTGAACAGTTGGTGCTACGACTTTTATACTTCACAAATGTAATCCTTGTGACAAGACCTTACTTTGGATACCAACAACTTTGAACTTTTGACCTTGAAGTTTGACCTACTTTTGATAAATTTTAAACTTGGCAATATCTTTTGATCGTTTGGTGCTTGGACTTTCATATTTCACATATGTATTTCTTGTGAGAAGGCCTTTCCTTGAGCACCATTAATTTTGACCATTAGACCTTGATGTTTGATTTACTTTTGATTTTTTTTTTAAGCTTTTCCATATCTTTTTAATGATTGCTGCTAGGGCTTTCATATTTCACAGGTATATTCCTCGGAACAAGAACTTACTTTGGGTACCAACATATTTGATTTTCATTTGAGAAAGTTTAACCTTCGCTATAAGTTGCCATACGGGGGCATCAGTATTTCACAAACACATCTTGTTTTCAAAAGAAATGCACATGAGAAATATGAAAGCCATAGCTCCAACCAATCAAAAGTTTTGGGCAAGGTTAAAGTTTTTGCGGAAGAACAGCTAGACAGACAGACGAACAAACAGCTAGACAGACAGACGGAAAGGGCAAATACTGTATGCCCCGAATCTTCTATTACGGGGGCATCAAAAACTTCTACATGAATAGCAGTCTCCTGCTGTGGCCTTCTGTTCAGATATATTTAGATATATCGATGGCCTATATCTATTTTCATTTCTACGTTGATTTGATACAATTTGGAGGGGTGATGTTACTCAGATAGAGGTTTTGTTTAGTTGTGATGAAACCTTGTATGTGTAATAAATAGATTGAAATAAATCAGCAACTTATTGCTGCATAAATAATGGAAGCTGACGACGGAAAATTTAAAGTTGAAGCCATTACGTTTATCATAAAGTTTTGTCATATTTCCATTGTTACAACGCATTTTGAAAAATTTTTCAAAGTGCGTTAAATCTGGGACCAAGTTAACGCACTTTCAAAAAATATATTTCTTTGCAAAGTGCGTTAATATCGACCATATTAACGCACTTTGAAAAAATAAATGTGCACGGATGGTCAATATTATTGCAAATTTTAGGTATGATAAATAATCATCTGAATCCGTTTGGATACCTTTTCGGTGATGACGTCGCTACAGGATCTTAGATACAGACGTTTTAAAGATTTTTAGTTGTCTTGTTTCCCTAAGGTTCTCTTAAATGTTATAAAAGGGAAATGGGACTTTTTGAAATAATGGAAGATTGTTAAAAGATTGTTCAATAGCACAATTTCGTTTCTTTTTAGGTCACCTGAGTGACTCAGGTGACCTATTGCTATTCGTTTTTGTCCGTCGGCGTTCGTCGTTCGTCGTGCGTTAACATTTGAACATTTTCAGCTTCTTCTCTTAAACCGCTCAACCAATTTCAACCAATTTTGGCAAATAGCATCTATGGGTGAAGGGGAACAAAAATAATTGTAAATTTCAGGGTCCTTGCCCCCCCCGGGGGGCCTGAGGGGTGGGGCTAAAACCACCAAAATTTATACAATCTTTAAAAATCTTCTTCTTTACTCCTGGACATCAAGCAGTCAAATTGTTGGGATGATTGTAGTAAGCAGTGAGCCTTCTACCAAAATTGTGAAATTCATGGCCCCAGGGTCAGGGGTTCTGGTGTTAGGGCGGGGCTACACAGATCATATAGTGAAAGTGCATTATTTCTTTGAAAATCTTCCCCTCTGCTCCTGGGTATTAAGCCAATGAACTTAGTACATAATTGTGATGAGCAAGAGTGCCCCTTCCAAAATTGTGAAATTCATGGCCCCAGGGTCAGGGGTTCTGGTTTTAGGGTGGGGTTCTATTGATTATATAGTGAAAATGCATTAATTCTTTGAAAATCTTCTCTGCTCCTGGGTATTAAGCCGATGAACTAAGTACATGATAGTTATAATGAGCAAGAGTGTCATTTCCAAAATTGTGAAATTCATGGCCCCTGAGTCAGGGGTTCTGGTGTTAGGACGGGGCTCTATTGATTATATAGTGAAAATGCATGAATTCTTTTAAAATCTTCTCCTCTGCTCCTGGGTAAAAAGCTGATGAACTAAATACATAGTTATGATGAGCAAGAGCGCCTCTTCCAAAATTGTGAAATTCATGGCCCCTTGGTCAGGGATTCTGGTGTTAGGACGGGGCTCTATTGATTATATAGTGAAAATACATTAATTCTTTGAAAATCTTCTCCTCTGCTCCTGGATATTAAGTCGATGAACTAAGTACATAATTATGATGAGCAAGAGTGTCTCTTCCAAAATTGTGAATTTCATGGCCCCTGGGTCAGTGGTTCTGGTGTTAGGGCGGGGCTCTATTAAATATGAAGTGAAAATGGATTTATTCTGTTAAATAATCCTGTCTAATCCTTAGTGTTGAGCAGATACACAAAGTGCATAGTTATGATGAATAAGGGTGCTTCTCACAAAATTTTTTAAACTTCGTGGTCCCAGGGTGGGGGGCTTTTGTGTTTCTCATTGGGGGGGGGGGGGGGTATTGATAACATAAGTGAAAATGTGTTAATTTTTTGAAAATCTTTAACTAAGTGCAGAGTTATGATAATGAGGATACCTCTTCCAATTTTGTGATGAGGATACCTCTTCCAATTTTGTGAAATTCATGACCCTGGGTCATGGGTTTTGGTGTTAGGGTAGGGCTGTTTTGAATCTGTAGTCATGGTACATGTACTGAAAATGCATTATTTCTTTGAAAATCTTCTCTTCTCTGATCTCTGCTTGGCATATCAAAGGCAAACAAAGTAAAAGTTTGTATTCTACTGAGAGAAGTTATTCCCCTCTGCAATTTACTTTTGATAAATAATCACTATAAATAATGTATTTGTAAAGTTAATAGAATAAGTGAATTAGGCAAAATATTTTATTGTATAATACAAAAACTACTTTCATAGTTTTAATGATCAGATAGACTTGTAAATAATGAAATAATGAAAAATGAGACAAAAATGACTTTTTAAAATGTTCTTCAAAGACCAAAAGAGGCCAATGTGAGAGATTATAACTTGGGGTTAAAAATAGTACAGAAGCACTAAAAGTTTGTTAATAGTCTGCATGGTGATAGTGATAAATTGGGGACAGATTAGAACTTAAATTTTGAGTTGTTACTAGATATTAGACTAATTATGTCATTGGTCCTGATCATCCTATTTCTCTTGCTTTTGGGCAACAAATCTTCATCTACCTGTTTATTTTATATTCTATGGATCCTCTAAGTTGTTGTATTATACTCAGGTGACCGTTAAGGCCCTTGGACCTCTTGTTTATTTTATACAGTCTGTAATAAGTTTGGTAGATGTAGGGTCGATAAGTGACTTAAAGCATCGAATTTTTCTTAGGGAAAAGGAAGCAATTATGATTTTTCCACTCTAGAATCCTTAAATCCTTAAGTTTATGCTTTCAAAAATTCATGTTAATAGATAATTTTGAAATATGTCTGAATGAACATGCAAACACTAATTCAAATTAAACATTTATAAAGATTCCATTTAGGTAAGACATGGTGAGTATGAAGTCAAACTTTGATGACATAATTTTTATCAATTTTGACAAATATTTATATAGGTTCGAAGTGTTCAAAGGACACTTGTACTTAATGACACACCATTAAAGATTTCATTCCTGGTCGTTTATTATCTCTGAACGATTGTTTAAAGAAAAAGAGCATGCAGCTCTGAATGAAAGCTATACATAAAAGAACTTGTGTGACTCTTTCTGGGAAGTAAAAAAGGACGTCACCTAAAATCAAGACCAGATTACTTTAAAGCTAACAGAAACTGATTGTTCTTGTCATTTCTGAATGTTTTTATATCCAGGTATGAAAACCCTGCTAAAAGAGCCAAAGACTCTCTGTTGGTCATTTATAACATGGAAATAGCAGTTTCCAAAATGATGGGTTGTTTTCTTTTCTTTCTTCCTTAAATCTCTACAGACCTAATATTACATGCATCGCGACTGATCTAAGATAGCATAATACATGTATATGTATGCCTACTGATCTATCTCGTAACTTGTCCAGAGTTTTCTATTTAATACTGTGACACTCATTATGGATCAACATTTGACACACTGATAGTTTTTGTCGGAAGTGTCCAAAGCTTAAAACGACTTATCTTTGACAAAAAAGTATGATCGATTACAATCCAAGGGTAAAGAGGATTAGGTTCATACAAGGATAATAATCAGAAATTCGTACTCAGATTGACACGGGATCGGGAGCTACAGGTCTGACCTTGAAAATCAACCTCATATCAAGGAATTATTTTTTCAAACAATGAGCTCAGAATGGAATTGAAGACAAAGAAAGTCAGAAACCTGAATGCAAAACTCGGCATATTCATGCATCTCATTCAATTACTGTGCAGTCTGTAGTTTGATTTACATGTATTAGTATTTTAAGATGATAAGCAGTTTTTATGCTCCCGTATCGAAGATTCGGGGGTAAATAGTTTTTTGCCCTGTCCGTCCGTCCGTCTGTCTGTTTGTCTTTTTATCTGTATGTCCGCAAAAACTTTAACATTGCTCATAACTTTTGATTGGTTGGAACTATACCTTTCATATTTCACATGTGTATATAATTCTTGTGACAAGATCTTTCTTTGGGTACCATCATATTTGACCTTTTGACCTTGTCTTTGAAGTTTGACCCATTTTTACAAAATTTTACCCAATTTTAAACTTGGCCATAACTTTTGAACAGTTGGTGCTAGGGCTTTCATACTTTACATGTGTAATCCTTGTGAGAAGATCCTCCTTTTGGTACCAACAACTTTGACCGTTTTGACCTTGACCTAGGACTTTGACCTAATTTTGAAAAACTTCAACCTTTGCCATAACATTTGAACAGTTGGTGCTAGCGCTTTTATACTTCACATGTGTATTTCTTGTTACAAGACCTTTCTTTAGATACCAACAACTTTGACCCTTTGACATTGACCTAGGAGTTTGGCCTACTTTTGAAAAACGTTAACCTTTGTCATAACTTTGGAATGGCTGGTGCTAGGGCTCTTATAATTATACTTCACATGTATATTACCTGTGACAAGACCTTCCTTCAGATACTAACAATTATAGCCCATTGACCTTGACCTTGGAGTTTTACCTACTTTTGGAAAACTTTAAACTTGGCCACTATTATTATTGAGCAGTTGGTGCTAGGGCTTTCAAACTTCACATCTGTAATCCTTGTGACAAGACCTTTCTTTGGATACCAACAACTTTGACCCTTTCACCATGACCTTGGAGTTTGACCTATTTTTGAAAATTTTAGGGTAAGATGCTATCAACAAATTTGATTTTCTTTGTTTTCTATTAAGAATTCGGAAAAAAAAAACCTCCAACACCTTATGTTTTCACTGAATAAAATTCAAACATACATACATATTTTCAATCAGCTTAATCCTTAACACATTGTGCGCATTTAGCATTGATTACATTTTTTTGCTAATGTCTTTTTCCCTACTGCCTCTATTCTATTTACTATATTTACTCAATCAATATACATGTATTAAGAAATACATGTAAATATTAAAATACTTATGATTAATTTGGAATTCCTCTGTTCATTTTGACAAGCAGGTGCTTTTGGTCATTTTCTTTTATTCAAACACATTGAGTTGCACGTATTGCATGTATTGGTTATAAATGCCCTGTTATCTCCTTGCGTCACCCCCTAACCCTTTATATAAAATGTCAAACGACTCGACAAGGGGCAGTGGGCATTTCTAGGATGCCGTCACCTCTAAGTGATCATTATAGCGTTAATTTGAGAGTTTTCTTTGGAAATCCTAATCAATAAATATATTTATTGATAGCTTTTTTTTTTTATCTGAATAGAGCAAAAATTTACTGCGATGAAGGAATGGAATACAATTGTCATTTTTAGCATTTTGAATGTTCTCTTTGAGTTTGCATCTTCCGTGTTTCTGGGAGGGACCATAAGTTGGCGAGAGAATCAGAGAAAGGTAGGAGAAATCTTATTATACAAAAGAATGAAAGTGGATTGTTGCTTTTATAGTTAAAAAACAAACAAACAAAGGAAAACAGTCTGCAATTTATTTTGCTTTTGTTTCATATAGACGACCAAAGATGATGATTGGATAATTTGATCAGAATCTGTATTACATGTCCTTCGTTAAACATCAAAATGGTCAGCGAAAATTTTCAATGGCATTTATTTTTAAGATCATCTTCATTTATTTTTCTTTCCAAAAAGCCATTGATTCTGGTTCAGCATACTTCATTTATCCCATTATATACATGTATATTTTTTTTCTAATTTCACATGCTTTTAAAAATATATATTTCATTTATTTATTTACAATTTTAAATTGTAAATAAATACAGATGACTCAACAAATCTTTCTTCCCTTGAAGAAGGCTAATTAATATGTAATGTTTGGTAAAAGAGAAAAAACAGAGCAAATAAAACAAGCAAGCATAAAATACTTGATGACAAATCACTTAGAGCGAGAAAGAAAAGAAAGAACTAAGGAAAAGGTTTCATATTGATTCGATTTTGCTTAAAAATTCTCAAATAAACACCTTTACTTCAGAAAAACAAAAACAAATAAACAAACGATTATCAGCTGATACTACTTTGAATTATTATCTTTATTCTTAACTTGAAGAATTTTGATTCAAAATAAATTGTTCTAGAGTTCTTCTAGGGGGATATCGCTTGTTGGTAAGACGTGGAACTTTATATATTCAACAGATATTTTTCACCTTTTAGTATAATTAATTGCATGTTGATGGGGTCATTATACACCTGAAGTGCTCACCCACTGTTTCCTTTCTTCCATAAGTGGGGGTCTTTACAATGTTTATCAATTTAATTACTTTATCATGTTCAGAAGCGAAAACAGCGAAGCGTTAAGAGGAAGCAGTCAAGAGGAGGCTCGTGTTGTTATTAGATAAACCGTTATCATATAAACTGATATAGGTGAAATGTATCGACAAATTGGGCCTCAATAGAGGTCATGAATATTAAACATGTATCTATGGATTTCAAAGCATAAAGAATTTTCATTGATTTACAAACACAGGAAGTAACAAAAAAGAATCATTGGAATTGCTTTCTTGTAGAGTGTATTATAGTAGAAATTATTGAGGGCGCACAACTGTAAAATATAAGCTTTTTTAATATAGTTTTTTTTTATTAAAATTTATATTGGGAAAATAATTGTGGATCCCCCCCCCCCCCCCCCCGCAGATTGGCCTGGATACATTTTCTCGAATATATCTGAAATCATTGTGATTTTTTTTTTTCGAAATCAAGATAGATGCCTGATTAAAATTTCAATTTAAAATTGTCACTTAAAAAATTAATAATTAAAACAACACAAAGATTAATATAGCTGTACAAAGTACATGTGCTTATTCAGATCCTTGATTTTAGAAGAGAAAAATGGGGAGAGGGGGTGTACCTCGAGTTTTTCCCTTCCAAAAAAAACCGCCCACCCATCCACCTCTCTCTCTCTCTCTCTCTCTCTCTCTCTCTCTCTCTCTCTATATATATATATATATATAAAGCAATAATGATGTGAAATAAAAGAAGATTGATAATCAATTGAAAGTTATTAAATATACGATTTTTAAAATATGCTTCAATTAAAGGTCAAGCGAAGAAGATTCAGGTGCCACCCCTCCCCCCTGATATTCACTGTTTCAGATTAACATAATACACATGAAATATCATTAATTGACTTTCGTACCGACTTAAATGGATAGACTCCCTACTCTTGGGGACCCTGTGTATACTCTATGTACACGAAGGCATGCTGGATATTGGCGATTAGGTAGGAGGTATCTTTTTGCATGTCATATTGTCAAAAACTGTATCTATGTCAATCCCACATGTGACCCCCCACTTAACCATTAAATAGCTTTTTAATAGTTGGCCAAGTCATAGATCATTTTAATTGATTTCCTTTCTTTTTTTAAACCTCAACAATCAACTATTTCTACAAAATACAAATAGAATGCAATACTGAGGACCTAAATACGGGGAAGGGGGTTGTAATTATAAAAGTTGCACCAGTAATTAATATTCAGAAGATAAGTTCTAGCACGATATTTTAATTTCCTAGGTTTGAAAAGACAGCTGCTGATGGAAAACCGGATAGGCTGCATGCAAGCTTTTTTATGAAATTAATTTTGTACACAGTGTACATTATTATTCTGTTAGGCTTCAATACGCAAGTTTCGAGATTATCTCCCTTGGTGCGCTCTTTCGTTACGGAGGGAAGTTTTGTTTCCTTGTAAGCAAGGCAGGTGGGACAGTTATTTATATATTGGATACATGTGCCATCATAACTGATTGTCGGGATACACTAACTACCGAATCAAAGGCTTCAATTTTTTTCTACGAACAAAAATCGGAACAAAAGAAAATAAAAATCGGAACAAAAGAAAATATCAGTGGATAAGAACTTATCAAACGAGGGGAGAGATATGGATCTCTATTAAATATACACACGCATCTCATTGTACGTTGGCATTCTGAATGACTCTTTCCCTTATACCGTAATAACTTCAAAGATCAGCCTAATAACTTTTTAGAAAAGGTTTGTACAATCAAAGAATTATTTTTCTTGCAAAGACTATGACCGTTCTTTCGTTTTCAAGTATCCTAATTAAAAGCAAATTTTGTAAATATGTAAATAGTAAAGCTTTATAAAACCATCAAAATGATCATTGCTTAGCACTATCATCTTTCTATAACATTAAATGAATTTTAAAAGCCATAGCCATCGTTCATTTCTTTATGCACGTTTGTATTCATTAACAACCTGTCCCACTTCCATGCTGATATGGATACTTTTTGCGCCTCTATCGTAGGAGAGTTACAATCTCGAAACTCGCGTATTATTTATATTAATTTTAATTATCAGAGACTTGACAAGAGTACTTTTGATGAATTCTTTACTCATAAAATATGAAAATAACGAAAGGTAATCAACCTCATAAGTCCATTGAAACAATTATAAACAATACCAATCTGGAGCAGAGCAAACTCGGACCTCTAAAAACATCAGAGGTGGGATGAGGTGCCACAGGGGAGTAAGCATCCCCTGTCGACCTCTCACACCCATCGTGTACGCTTTGTCATCATCGGATAAACGGAAAAATCCGTATATAATTCAGTGTGAAAATAATAGGTTAGCAATTGTCGGGGTCTTTACAGTGTTTATCAACAAGATTGTTTGTTATACCCTTATAAATATCTTTCTATATATTTATTACTAATAAAAAGGCCAACAAAAGAAATGTTAATTGCATTGGTCTAACAATTTCATTGTTGGCCGGCCTGCAACATAAGAATTGTTAGACCGCAACGTCACTGCTACGTCACAAGTAATTAATCATCGTTCAATATAGGCGACACGGAAATAGCCGAAGTTTAGAGCTGAAAGAGTTGTCGTTTGCTATATGAAAGAGTATGTTTTGTGATAAATAATTTTTATGGTATAATAATTTTATTCTTTACTTTTTCATTCTCTCCTATTGTTTTGTTGATTAAGCCAAAATTTTTCAAAGAAAGTAATTGATTATATATTGATGAAATCTGTTCAAAAGTTTTAATTTAATTGTTCTATCTGAAGTGAAGGGTATAACAAAACAGTTATAGACTGGGATTCGGGCAACATATGATTTGTTGGACCTGAAGGTGAAAATGTTGCCCTTGGCCTGCAGCCTCATATGTTGCCCTCATACCCAGTCAATATTTGTATAATATTATATAGTTTGTTTGGAAAACCTTATTATTTAATATATTCGTAAACCTAAGTCCCTAATTATAAATTTCATTCACCTCACAAAAGCCTTTAAGACTTTGATTGTTTAAAACTGTGAACTAAATGCATTATTCTGTAGTAAATTTGAAAAGAAAAACTTTAAAACTTAATATCTTCTACGCTGCTGTTTCTGCAAGATTTTAAACTCGGTGTAGCATTTCTTTAGCTCGTTGTACAGCTTTAAGAACGGAAAGAAAAAATATGATTTATTAAAAAAAATTCCTAACATTTCAATTAAAAGACAAGTATATTTTGATTAGATAGAAACTTGACAAGAATTTCTCCATAAATTAAATCTTTAAAGTACGTAATTCATACATGTATAAGGTTAAAAGTAGAGTTTTTAAAGACATAACGAAATTATACAATTAATGAAGAATATTTTGCATATGGATTACTGCATATAATAACCTTGGAGGGAACATCATATGATTAAACGCACCGCTTAATTTATGCTGGTAATGTCTAATCCTCATATTCAAGACAGTCTCAACTTCTAAATCTCTGATTATGTATATGTGTCACTTTTGACATATATATATATATATATATATATATATATATATATATATATATATATATATATATATATATATATATATATATATATATATATATATATATATATGTTTTTGATTACCCCCCCCCCCTCAATTTTATCAGTAGAAACATTAAAGTCGAGTGTTAAGACTTCGATATTTTAAACTAAGATTAAGAATACTCTTTTATCAAAGAAAAATATATCAAAGAATTAATTGAAAGAAATTCATATTTTAATCAAATGTCATGTTCTAAATTTTGAATTTACCGGGTGGGAGTATTTACTCCCACCCGGTAAATTCAAAATTTAGAACATGAAACATATAGAAGAGTACAGGGGGTAGCCGCCTCCTACCTCCTCCCCCTTTTCCTTCGCCATCTCCTTCTTTTTGTTCCTTTTCTCCTAGAAAAATGAGCCCCAAATCGAAGAAACTGTATCCGTTTTCTGTTGCGTGTTGATGACTGACAAACGCATCAACATAATAGGAAAATCATCGCTGTGGCGGACAGAACCATGGCAACGAAATAAATTAATGCTTTAGAGTCCAGAAATAGGCGCTGAAGTGGGTGGGGTATTTTTTCCAAGAGAGCTTTCGTCCCCTGTAGAGTTTATGTATGTAGGTGTGGTACGTCTTTTTTAAACGTTTTTTTTTTCTGGACTGAAAGTGTCAGAATCTTTATTTTAACAACTTTTAAGTGTATTTAAAGTAGATTCAAAATTTTATGAATTTATTTTACATTTAACAATCCGGAAGTCAAGCCCCTATGTTCTCCACCTGTCTTTTTTTTCTCCTCTTTTTTTCCCCTAATCCACTCTACCCTTTTCCCATCCTCCCATCCCTTTCTCCTTCCTCCCATTTACCCTGTCCGACATGAAATTAACTACTTCCCTCTTCTATTTCTTTTCAAGCTGCGTTATACTTATCGAGTGACATTTGGATTGGGTAATGGGCCATGCGGATCAGCATGTTCTTATACAGATATAGGAAAGAAAACAAAGGCGGGAAAACCTTTCAACGAAACCTCCTGGGCATGCGTAGGATGTTCAAACCATTTTACCGGAAGTGACCTAAATTACGTAGTCACTGCAATTGGAGAAAATCCCAGATGGGAGCAGGGTGAAAATGTATTTGAACATAGAATAAAAGACACCAAATTCACAATGTCGTATGTGTTCACAAATATCATGTTTATACATGTATACAAAGGAACATTCTTTAAAATAACGTCTAATGAAAATTTCAGAATAGTCATTTAATTAACAAGTTCATTCAAATAAGTTAGTTTTTCTTTTTATTTCAGAATGATTATCCCATCTATTCTTAGTAACACCAGCAGAGCAGTTTTAACAACAATTGTTGATACCCGTGTTCGAAATGACACACACAGCATGAATTCTAGTCCTATTGCGGCTCTTCCTCCATATACAGGGTAAAGAAAGCTAAAACATATCCACGTTCCAATTGCTTTGTACATGTAATCAATGCTAATTTCATTCAATAAAGTTGTGTGATTTCAGAATTCCCTTTGGGTGTGTCTCCAACATTACACTCCCTGTTATCGACCCTGACAATGACGTAATCAAATGTCGCTGGGCAACGAGTGCAGAATGTGGTCAAGCTTGCACTGATCTACCTGAAGCATACATAAACGAAGTAATTTCATGATTTTCATTTTTTTCTTTTGAATAACTTGTTAATGCAACAATCATAGCCTATAGATGCTTGTGGAAAGCATACCAGTCTGACTAACTTCAGGCCCTGGGACTTATGTTTGATCTCATTCTTACTTATCCTTTGATTCCTTTTTGTATGAGACCTAGACCAACAACTGAGCTCATCTATGGCCCCGGAGCCAGATTAGGAGGATCATTGAAATTTCAAGAGAAGGGTTTTTAGCTCACCCGAACCGAAGGTTCAAGAGAGATTTTCTGATCTAAATGTATATGTTGTCTGTCGTTGACGTCGGCTTTATCGTTGTCGTAAACTTTTCACATTTTCATCTTCGTCCAAAGAATCACTGGGCAAATTTCAACCAAATTTGGCACAGAGTATCCCTGCGTAAATGGGATTCAAATTTATTCAATGAAGGGCCACACCCTCTTTCAAGAGGAGATCATTAAGAAATAGTGAAAATTGGGTGGGGTCATTTAAAAATCTTCTTCTCAAGAACCATTGAGCCAGAAGAGATGAAACTTATGTGAAAGCTTCCTGACATATTTCTATTAAATTCAATATTTTTCTTCAAATCATAACCACGGGGGGTTTGAAAGGGCCACTATGGGCAATCAAACTTTTACATGGGAATACAGAGGAAAAATCTATTAAAATCTTCTTCTCAAGAACCAAAGCCATAATTAGTCATATTTATATGGAAGCATCCTCAGGCAGTGTAGATTCAAGTTTGTTCAAATCATGACACCTGGGAAGTAGGGTGGGGTCATAATATGTAATCTTAATGTTTACATAGAAATGTGTAGGAAAAAAATCTGCTGATGAAGAACACACAAGAGTCATTGTGTCTCAGGTTAGAGTTGTGGCCCATGGGCCTCTTGTTTTGATATTTTTTTAAATTTTGTTTTAGAATTCCTGCACTATTCATATTAATGCATCAAAGCAAACAGGCTATAAAACAGGACACAGATATCGTGTTGCAGTGACAGTCGAGGACTTCCCAAGATTCCCTATTGAACTAGCGTCACACATTCTCCTCCCAAATCAGCCAATCAGTAGCATTCCTCTTCAGGTAAGTTACACTCACAGGCCAATCATAAAAAATGCAAGTTTTATTTTTGTTTTCTGATTAATCAGATTGATACATACATGTATTTATTTGTTTTTAGTTCTTTATAGACGTTGTTTCGTCAAGCTCCGGTTGTAAACCCGTTATTACCTTTGAGAACAAGAACTTTCCAGACAACAAAGTTGCGTCTTACAGCTTTTTGGATTTCCACAATCATGTCAACTTTGTATTTCCAGTATACTTATTATCAACAAGGTGGGTGTACCTATATCAATTACTGATTATCAAATAATGATCCAGCAATAATTTGTATCACTCTTTTATGTTCCTTCCCATATGACTAGTTGTAGCATACCAATTCTCTATAAGAAATGAGGCTTTAAGCTGTTTGTTTCATGATTATAGCATCGTATTTATAATTTTGTTTAGGAATATTACAACATTTGTACAGAGTTTTACACAACACATCAATACTACAATTATAAGGAACCATTCAGGAAGTCATCATACTTTAGAATTGTATTCGAAATGGCGACCAGTTCCACAACAACTCGGCGAGAATCTCTTGTGTGTTTGGGGGAAGGATAATGAAGGGTAAGAGAATTATTTTAAGAAAAAAGAAAACTAATCATCAGTTTTTTTTTTTGTTTTTTGTTTTTTTTTTAATCTCAGTTTCTATTTCAAACCGTATAATTTCCATTACAGAGTGACTACGAGAAAACAATGCATCCTAGGACTTATTGCTGGTAAGTGAAACGTTTTACATCGACTTTACCACGTGATTTATACAAAAACATTGTTACTTTTGATGTTTTGTTCTCAGACTCTGACGAGTGTTTTTCCAATCCTTGTCACGGTTCTGCCACCTGTGTCAACCTCTATAGAAGGTACGCATGTGCCTGTCCACCTGGTTTCAAGGGCTCAACTTGTCAGAAAAGTATGTATAAATAAATTCTCCAACAATCTATGCAAAGCTGCAAACAACACCGTCTTCTCAAAAAATATTATAATATACTTAATTATTTGCATGTTTTTCCCAAGAACTTGTGATTTTTTTTTCTTTCAGAAATAACCTGTGACCAAAACCCGTGTCTGAATAATGGAACATGTTCAGTCAACTCGACATTCTCTTGTCGGTGCAAACATGGTAAGGGGGAGGGTAATTTTCTATGTATCATTTTCCTGATGAAAAGTCACCAAACTTGTCTTATTCTGTCTTTGTTTTTTTTTTTTTTTTTGCTAGGATTTTTTGGAGACCTCTGCCAGTTTGAAGAACAACCCTGCTCAAGTTTCCCATGCAAAAATGGCGGGAATTGTATTTCTTTGTCGGGAATATACCGATGTCTCTGTCCCAAAAATTTCATTGGCCACAGCTGTGGTAAGCATCATACTAGCTGCAGAGCTGTAGCACTCTGGTTGAGACAATCCAGAGAGCTACAGATCCAATCATTGTAAAAACATTCGATTTGTTGTCGCTAACTTCGGGTATTATTTCTTGTATCATATGCGCCCCCTGCTTAAAAGATGATATCCTTAATTAACTGCATCAATCTCCTATGCACAGTTGTCGTTTGTTTCTCTCTCAGACACCTCGAGGTGAATGTATGAGCCGATGATAGAGAGTGTAACTGCATATCTGACTTCTATTTCTAATATTTCATTTACCTTTTAGCGATCCCAAACAGCCTTATATGGGCTTGAAATGCCAGCTTTATAAATTCGCAGTCCGACGTCCATGTTGAAGTCTTGATAGATTAACACACCCTGAATGGGATATAAGTATCAGGAATAGGAGTAAAAAAAATATGGTTATTTAACGGATACATTGCTTTAAGTGAGGGAACGCATATAATAAAAGGAATGATACCCGAAGTGAGCGACAAAAAAGCGTTGCCGTATATCGAAGGTTTTTTTTTAACAATGCCACGGCCAGGAACACGTTAAGTTCCTAGGCAGTACCGTTGTCAGAAACCTTGAAAGTTAAGCACTAAAACTGGTTCGTTGTCATGAACATACAGGTGAGGTTATGATAAAATCCGTCATGACTTGAGGAGACAGGCTGTGAGAAGTTTTTCATTTTTCAAGTTAAATTATCTATAACAATGTCTGAAATTGCAATGGGAAACAGGACTGATACCCTATTTGGTGCTGTATGAATTTCAGCCGTTAAAAAGAAGAAATAAAAGAAGAGTTTGCGTTGGCGACATTAACTCTGTTGAAATCACTTGCGGATTTGATTCGTTTTCCTAAGATGTTATATTTTTCGTAAATAGAATATAATATACACACTAAGTATCAAGACATGTTTTAAGCCTTTACAGAAAAACTGAGAACAAATTAAAACTGAAAATTTTGATTTATTTCAATTTTTGTCCGTTGTCATGACAAGATATGAAAATTCAGTCCGTTGTCATCGGTCCGTTGTCGCTACTGTATTGTATACACTACGAAGGACGATCTTATGTTGTTTTAGGTATCGTTAAGCATGCCATCAAAAAGAGGGGTGTGACGGTACAAATTGTTGTTTGTACATATTGTCGTCGGCGACAAAATGTACCTACCCTGACTGCACATATCGTCGTCCATCGATACACATTGTCGCCGGCGACAATTTGTACCGAGACGAGCTTTTTTCCTCCTCCTGCGTAATGGAAGACAAAATGTACAGTCAAGCATCGGCACGCTTTGTCGTCGGCGACAATACATGTATGTACTGTGACCATTGGTACATTTTGTCTCCGATATATTGTGTTGAATATTTACTATGGTCGTGGAGAGAGAGAGAGAGAGAGAGAGAGAGAGAGAGATTGACACACAAACACAGAGAAAGAGAGAGAGCTAGACAGACCGAAGGATAGACAAAGTGTTTCGCTGATAAATAAGTAAACAAGTTGTATTTATTTAGAATTACTCGCAGTACTGTAGGGAGAAATGGTGTTGCTCAGAAAATTGTGTCCAGCATTGGTTTACATGACTATGAAATGTCAAAATACCGTAATTCTTGAGATATTTAAAAAATCAGTCTATTCTTTTTTCTCGTTGTATATACATGGATATGAGATTGAAAGTTATTTGTTCAGTAGAAGTGTTATCTGGAATTCATTTTTTTTTTTGCTTAATTCTCATACGAGTGCCGATATAATTGGTGTAGAGGTTGACATATTTTTAGCTCACCTGAGCTGATAGCTCTATTGAGCTCTAGTGAGCTTTTCTGATCACATTTCTTGTATCGTCCGTCTGTCTGTCAGTAAACTTTTCACATTTTCAGCTTCTTCTCAGGAACTACTAGCCAATTTCAACTTCAACGAAACTTACCAGAAAGCAAACGTGGATAAAGGGAGTCAAGTTTGTTTAAATTAATGGTCATGTCCTCTCTCAACAAAGTACATGTATAATTAAGAATTAGTGAAAATTTAGTGACATCTTTAAATAATCTTCACAAGAACCATTGTGTCAGAAAAGTTTAAACTTATGTGAAAGTTTCACATACTGTAGTTTCCTTATTTTATCGCGAAATGGCCCAAGGGCGTCAAATCGCGAGAAAAATAATTCGCGAAGGGGTGATTTATCTAGAGATTTTACATAATTAAAGCACCATCAAAATAAAAGCGTGTAATTTTATTTCGCGAGTGGTGCTTCTCGGGTAATTACGCAATAATTTATTCCTCGCGTATATTTAGGAATCTACAGTACATGAAGTGTACTTTTTTTTTTTTTTTTTAATTTTTTTAGATTCTGGCACGAAGAAGATCCCACACTTTTCAATGGCCCTGAGTTCCGAGAATAGGTCTAAATTTTTGGCCCTCCACCGGCAAGTGGTGATGTCTCCTTATGAGTGAAATATTCTCTAGAGGGATATTAAAACAACAAACAAACACAAAATCAATTCTGTACAAATCATGACCCCCATAGGTAGGGTGGGGCCACAATTGGTGATAAAAGTTTCCTGTTGGAATATACGGTATACAAAAACTCTTTAAAAATCTCCTCAAGAACCAAAGGCGGATCTAGCACCGGCGCACCCCACCCCCTCCCCCATCATTATCCCACCCTGTCCCCTCCATTTGATTTTTTTCATTTTTCTTTGCTTTTGTAAATTCTGTTTTTTAACCTGTATATACTCTCAATTTTTCCACAGACAAAATTTCATGATTAAATACTATACTTAACTTATACACTAAGACTCCTTCAAACACAAACGATTTTTTTTTGTTTATATGAAAGCATCCTCAGGTAGTGTAGATTCAAGTTTCTTTTCATCATGACCCTCTGGCCTAGGTCGGGGCCACAAAGGGCGATCAAAGTTTTACACAGGAATATATAGGAAAATTCTTTAAACATTTTCTTCTCAACAACAGCAAAGCAATGATAAGTCAGATCTATATGGAAACATTGCCATGTATTGTCATGCGACATGTACTGATGGACGACAATATTCTCAGTGAGTGTGTGTACACATTGTCGCCGGCGACAATATGAACGTGCAGGGCGACAAAATGTACCGTCACAATCACGCTTTAATTTTATTATGACCAATCATGGCTTTGCTTTGCTGTTCTTGAGAAGAAGATTTTTTAAAGATTTTTCCTATGTTATCCTACGTAAAATTTTGATAGCCCACTGTGGTCCCATCCTACCCCCGGGGGTCATGATTTGAACAAACTTGAATCTACACTACCTGAGGATGCTTCCACATAAGTTTCATATTATCGGTCGTTGTCTTGCCCGATTTTTATCTCTTTTTTTTTCGTCGACCGACCAATTTTATGCATGTCAGTCGGGTCAAGTTATTTTTTTTTTTTTGCGTCTGTGGCCGATTCAATTGAAGCACTCAATGAATAGTCCGTCTACCAACCTTCGATCATCGGCCGACCATCGGCATACAATTTTTAGAGTCGGTCGTCAGTCGGTCGACATTTAGGAATTGGGTTTTCGTACAACTGTCGGCCGAAGATGAAAATCAAACTGCGGCCTAGCAAACGATGATTGGGCGACGGTTGGCCAACTTATAAATATTTTTACTTTTAAAGGTATCGATGTTCCTAGGAATTAATATGACTACTCTGCGTCGCCCGATACTGGTGTCGGCCGATCATGTTTTTTCAGCCGACGATACAAATATAATTTGGTCGCCCGACCATCGGCTTAAATGTGACCTAAGCATATCATTTTAATTTTGTTATACTGATGATATACAAGGAATTGTATATGTTTGCATACTAGCTAGGATGCAGGTTCCTGAGAGAAAATGAATTGAAAATAAAAACATCGCAGAATAGTTAGCACGTTGGTGTGAGCTACTTTAAGACGACCCCGAGATTTAAATATATTTGTAATATGCTTTGTATTCTTTTAAATTAAGCATATATTTGATCATTTCTGTTGCATTTTATTGATTTCCTTACATGGTAAGAAAAATGACACCGGACCAGATAAACTTAACATGTACATGTACTGACAACGGACTTTTTGCTTATAAAATGCGATTTCTTAAAACATGTAAGCTACAAAAGGCTGTCACTTGCCTAATACATTGAAAATGAAGTTTCTCTTCATATTTTAAAATAAAAGAACCATTTCGATGATTTAAATATAAGAAATATATAATTTTCCAGCTCACGATCATGGCTTCACACATGGGTATGTGATCGCCAACCAAAACTCCTCAAAATGTATTGTGGATATCAAATACAGAAATCTTTTTATGGAATACTGAATGTTGTATCTGTTTCCCAGAATTCAAATTTATTCTTAGAATTTGTCAAAAACGTTAAAATTTAGGCATTATGTATAAATTCTTGTATCTTTTGCATGACACCGGACGGATTTTATCACAACCTCACCTGTATGTTCATGACAACGAACCAGTTTCAGTGCTTAACTTTAAAGGTTTCTGACAACGTTACTGCCTAGGAACTTAACGTGTTCCTGGCCGTGAATGCTTGGATCTGTTAGTAGCTCTTTGGTTTTTCTCAACCAGACAGATTCAGTTCTGCCGCTAGGATCTTAACTGAATTTCCTCGCATTTATCTGTCAAAGCATTTTTTAACTCTATGCTTTTGGTTGAAAACTATAGTTTTGGCCTCAAATTTGTGTTTCGTTTTTATCGTTACAGAAATATATGATGCGTGTAATTCTCCATGCCAAAATAACGGTTCTTGTTTGAATCGCAATGGGATGTTTGTATGCAAATGTGCATCTGGATGGACTGGAAGTGATTGTTCTCAAGGTAATGGAACTAAATTTCTTACACAAATTATTATCACAAAATTATCTTAAACCAATACATGTAGACTATTTCTTTTCCTTCATTGTGATCTACAGTGAATCATATGATTTCGTGCTTTTGCACGTATAACACTTATTTTAAATGTATATTCTTCCCTATGATTTATTGCAGGTTTGAGATTGACTGTCAAAGCATCTTATAAAAGGGTAAATAACTTTTAAAAAGTCAGAAAAATCTAGAGCCCTAATCTTGTTATTTCATAAACCAATTTATAACATTTGAACTTTAACATTAGTAGATGGAAATTCTTGAATGGTCCCAAGAGTAGTTTGTGTCTCATTGTTTCGAGAGTAGTTTGTGTCTTTCGAGTTCTTATAAAGGTATAATATTAATAATAAAAAAAATTGAAGTATCGATGGTTATCTCTCCCCTCACCCAATGCACAATGTTTATTCAGACAACACTGAAAATTCTTAATTGGAATGAATTCAAACTTACGAGTACATAAGTATGTTGCTGCATATTACCTAAATGTACATCATTATATATTGCCTCAAAGTCGTGCCTTTAAAGTCACGAAATCAGTAGCTGTTCAGTGATAGAAATTTTGATTTTAGAAACCTTCATTGGAATGAATGTTCAAATTTGAGTTATTGAACATTGCCGATTTTTAAAAAATGTTATGATCTTGTTCTCTTAAAATTGCTTTTCCTTCTTTTCCAGGCGTTATCATTGTCAAAATTCCTATTTATATTGGTGGGTAGTGTGTGTTGTGCTTTGCTACTTATGGTGCTGTTTTTCTTTGCCTCCAAAAACAAAAGAGCTAGTCTGCTGTCAAAAGTAAGAGATTCACATTTAGCTGAAAATGAAAAGATGAAGGAGATAGACGATAATGGCAATAATATCAAGAAAAAGAAAACAAACAGAAAGATTTCTGATGAATCTTCAAGAATTCGTTCTGCCTTGAAATTCTGATTTAAAACAACAAACGTTGTGGAGAAAGAATAGTAAACATTGCATTTTTTTTTTTAATGTGGCCACAGCTTGATTTGCTTGTATAGCAGGGAGGATTCCAGTGTCAAAAAAATGTAATCAAAGTTCAAAATGATGTTTACAATTTTTGCACCCAATAAACGTTTGCAATATCAGTTTGATACTTGTCTCGTTTGCTGATTTTTATTCGAAAATGAAAATAAGTACATGTGAACGACTGTTCCAAGATTTATATACCCATCAGTTTGTTCCTGTTTGAATATTTTCTTATATCCTCTAACAATTATTGTTAATGTTTTCCATGACTGTACTTGTATATAACAAATTAAATCGACGCAAAGCATCAAATCGGCCGCAAACAAAATAAAGCATTTTAAAAGGTACTTTCACAAGTAAGCATCCAAGCTAAGGAAAGCGCAAGATATTCAAAGCTGATAGAATGACCACTTTCTATTTCAGACTGCCTTCAAAGCAAGGAAAACCCCCAAAACATATTACACGATAAATAGAAATTTCATCAGTTCATCAAATTGAATTTATCGATATAAAAATCAATGATTATATATATAATAATATATAATTATATATATAATGATAATGAAGTTGTAGACAATTTTTACTAGTTTTAACAACTTTCATTTTTACCACTGTAATTAACATCCGGAAAATCATAAAATCATAACGACTAGCATTCATATCTTATACACACTCCCATGTTGGGGCTTACCTATTTTAAACCCTTTTTATATTATCATAAATTAATAATTATTTGATGAGAAATAAACATGAAATTGAAACATAATAACGACAATGAGGACTTGTGTAATGCAAGTTTTAAAAATATTTTTCTCATAATTTTATACATTTTCTCATTAACGAATTCTTTTACCGAACTAATATAAAAAGCACGTCTCATTTCCCCATGTGCACTTTCTAACACAGCCACAAATAGATCGGTCGCTCCCGCGGCCGATAATTATGAATTTTACCGAATATCTCATATAAAACGATAGAAGACCTTTCAAAAATAAATTTGACGACTCTACTTTCAATGAGACCATAAACTAGTTTTTAAAAAAATACAGGTTTATATGTAAACTGATTAAAATTAGATAAAAATTGTAGAGCAATACTTGCCTGCACCTCCCCTCCCCTCCCGACCCCCCCCCCCCCCAATCTAAAAGTATTAATATAGAAGGTTTCTACACTTCCTATGTTCTCAATATCTAAACCAAAAATTTTGGTTTAAATAAATATATAAACATTTAATGTAAACAATCAAGATGACCCCCTCTTTTCTTAGTTGTTACCACTTCGCATTAAACAATGAGACTGGAATGGTGAAGGTTAAAGGTTCGTTAAAACCCGGGGGTCAAGATTAACTTCTGTGACAGTCCGCAAAACAAATATTTGCATTAACTCTCTATAATGTGTGTTTAGAGGCATCCGGTGGATTTGTTTACTGTTGATCAGGTTTAGATTAAGGGGCTACTAATGATTAAAAAATGGGACATTTAAGGACGATTGAGAATAATCCGACTCGTATTAGAAATCCTAGGTACAGAAAACTTAAATGAAAAATCAGGTATCAACTTGGATTTAATTTTTTGTTTTTAGTTTTTTTCCCTCAAAAAAAATGCGATTAATACTAAAGGTGGTTTTAAAACAAGAACAGAACTGGTTTGCTTCTTAAAAATACAATTTACAGCCACTCATATTTCCAAAGTAACATTTAACGTTCTAGCACCATAAATAACTTATAAGATTGTCACGCTTTTTATTTCTTTGACAACGCTGTCGTGAAATTAATATCAATTGCTTGCTTTTAAGGAATTAACTTTAGTTAGTATGTATTCTGCATATGTATTCATGGTTTATGCTACATGAGATTCTTGAATATGCAATTTCAATACACGGATAACATCGGAATGAGTATTGAATTATGATGCATGTTTATATGACATCAATGATTTGTCCTTTGTTATCAATTGCCCAACGTAAGCAAATTTGTCATTTTTCCATTTAACCCTTAAAATCCAGAAATAAATCATCTGCCAAAGTATTTATTATTATTTAAAGAAAAATTTGACTTTAATTCTCACATGCACTTTTTTGTAGTTTCACTGTCGATAAAAGCAGATCCTTAGGTTAAACACATTGAATATAAAAATGTCAAAAATATTGTCATATATTGCAAGAATTTTGAGTTTACATGTCCTCCAACTCTGATTTTTGATAATTTGAATTAATTAATGTGTCATTGAATTATAAAAATCTTTGATTTATCGCTGATCAACTATCGCTAACTATAGTAAACTATAATATTTTATCCCGGCTAGTTACTTACATTTGTACTTTTCAATTGTTTATAAGACAGTTTGTAAGATGGAAAATGAAAACAATTTTGAACCTCGACATAAAAAAAGGAAACATTTGAAGAAACTCTTTTGAACAAGCTTTTACTGCAGTATTTTAGGGTTCATTTTATGAACATTTTATGAAATGTTGCACACGATCTAAGGAAATAGGTCATGAAATTTCAAATTCTTAAAATACGAGAGACGTAATCGGATAAACTGCTTAATAATTCAGGCGTGAAAGTTGTCCCAAGTATTACTGTGTATCAATGTGTTTTGATAGGCGTTTTACATGTATGCCCATATATATATATATATATATATATATATATATATATATATATATATATATATATATATATATATATATATAGTAAGTCTATCAGCCGATAGAAATTAACTATAAAAAGCATTTAATATAGTTTTACTTTGAGGTATATCTATTTATCTAATGTTACGTACATATATAAATCAATCAAACGCAACATATTTTTGCCATAATAAAACCCGAAAAGATAGAAGCTACATGTATATTTGATTACATGACAAATATTGTTATTTATTATTAAAACAAATCAAATTTAAAAAAAAAAAAAAACAAAAACAAAACAAAATAATTTAAAAAAAAAAAGAAAAAAAAAACCGCTAAAATTTCCAAAGAGTTATTGGCATACATGTACGTAATACTTTTCTACTAAATATGGATAATCAGCAAAGAAAGCTTTCTTGGAAATTGATTTATTTTCATAATATACTTATAAAATATGATGATAAAACAACATTCCATCCCTCATTATAAAAGTTCGAATCTTGCATGCAGCCATCATCTTATCCTGTTTCGAACGCCGGACTTTGAACAGCTTACTGCACCAACAGAGAGAATGTTCAGCAATCATAACTAACAACCGAAATGCAATGCTGTTATGTTACGTCACTAGTACTTCCTTTTTTTTATTATAATACAGACAGCTGTCAATCATTGACATTTTCCCATGCCGTCAAAAGACTATGGAAGGTTTGGGATCCCGAAGTCAATTCCAAGAGTCCTGTTACTAAAGTTACTGTAGAATATATTACCACAGCAAGCAATATCAGTGTAAAGGCATCTGGGTGCAGATATTAAGGAAAAACTATTTCATTTTCTTAAATAATGTTACACATTAAATTATACACCCAACGAATTTCAAAAACAGATGTTTATAAATTAATATTTTCGTGGAGTCGGTTATTGCTCTTTGATAGATATGCGAAGCAGAAATTTTAAGTTGAGAAAATGTAGATGTGAACTAACACTTTTTGAGAGATATGTGTCATTTGAATTATTAAACGTTGATCTGAAATAATTTCGTTTAATCGGTTAATGTTAGGGGTGGATCTAGGGATTTTTCAGGGGCGAGAGGAAAGGCGCTCATATACACTGAACAAAACTTCAGTTATTTTATTTGCAAAACAAAAATATGTGTTGAAGTTGATTTTTTATGGTTTACTATACCAAACACATTCTAAAGAAGTTAATGGGAAATTTTGTCGTCGTATCAAGGCACGTGATTTTTTCCCAAAAACCTCGAAATATAGAAAAATAACAACGTTCAATTTTTGAAATATTTAGTCTCATACAAAGGATCATTCCTGAAAACTAGATATAGAATTTGGGGTTTTAAGCAAAGTCACGGTTGACTGAATTCTTTTTGTTGTTTGTTAATTTTTTACAGGAATAGTCTTGTACCCCTGCATACATAAGTACATGTAGGAATAATCTTTGAAATTTTCAATCACTTTTTTCAACTATAGTAGATTTTATCACAAATGACTACTGTGAGATTTTGTTGAGCATATATACATGTATCTTACTACGTTGATCCAAATAACTAGGCTTTAACATTCTTACCAATCTGTATCGTTACTACATGTTCTTTATACAATCAATATATTTTATTGCGCATATTAGAGCTAAAATGAGAATTCAATCAGGACTTTCAAAGTAAAAAGGTTTGCTTTTTCATGAAATATGAACATGCGCGGATCTAGAAGGGGGTGGGGGGTCCTTAGTTTTTTTTTTTTTCTTTTGTTTTTGTTTGTTTGTTTTTGTTTTTTTTTTTTTTTTTTGGCTTGTCAGGAAAATTCTGGATTGGAAATTTTTCTTGGACTGGGGTAGAAACACACACTCCCCTGGAAAAAAAATTCCTGAATCCACGCCTGCATGATGAATATAAGAAATATCTCGGTAACGAGAAAAACAATAGGCATTTATAATTTAGTCACTTGAACAAAATCTTTATAGAAAATGCACGGTGAGCTCTTATACATATTTCATCCAATGTACAAAAATGGATCAATAAATCGAAAAAATGTTTATTCTGCGAGTTAAATGGACCTGTGATATTCGTGTTAATTATAGCCGGGTATAGCCGATTTATCGACTGATCCTGTAGTCGGCAATCGAAATTTGAAATATAAATCAGCAACATTTTATAGATGCTGCTTAAAAAATTACAAATTATTGCAATGCTGAAAATGTTCGTTTGAATTTGACTTAACACCTTTTCTAAACATAGCTTATACCATATATTCCATGCAGCCAAATGGACGAAAACATAAACACATGCTAAATAACAAAATGTTCAGAAGACCATTCTTGGAATAAATATTTTTAAATGACCACCCAACAAAGGATACGAAAGAAGTACCTCTCAATGGGATCCATAACAACCAGCATGCTGGCCACCTCCCACTGGAAGTACCAATATTTGATCCACGCCACCACCTTCTTCAGCCACTCCATTATTGTGTTCTAAACTCGATCA